TTCACTGTAAGTGTCAGATCTATGGCTGCTATGAAATTGATTAGAGAATATACAATTTTTGGTACGTTATTTATTTTTTTTCAGTGTAGAAACTGAATCGGTTCTTGTCTTCACTGATGGGGCTCTTTTGCCATAGTTATGGAAACTGTCGAAACTTAATATTGTGTGTTACAATATATGCAGGTCAAGAAGTATTCTTTATAGTATTCTTAGAAAGTAATTGTCAATTTTGGACATTGAAATTTGAAAACAGAACATAGTGCCGAATATGTACTCCACATTTAAAGGCTTGACTTTTAAGAGCCGTCGCAAACTCTGTTCCTGCGGGAGCAAACCTTGCTAGCACGTCCCTGATGTCATGAGCCTGCGCCTTTCGCCCCGCCCCTTTCTCCGCCCCTTTCTCTTTGCCAGCGTGGTTTTTCCTTTGCTAGGGCAGCATTGCCCGCATTTTCTCTCAGTTGAATTCTGCCAAGACCCGTCGCAAACTAGGTTCCTGCGGGAGAAAACCTTGCTAGCATGTCCCTGACGTCATGAGACTCCGCCTCTCGCCCCGCCCCTTTCTCCGCCCCTTTCTCTTTGCCAGCGTGGTTTTTCCTTTGCTAGGGGAGCATTGCCCGCATTTTCTCTCAGTTGGCAGAATTCAACTGAGAGAAAATGCGGGCAATGCTGCCCTAGCAAAGGAAAAACCACGCTGGCAAAGAGAAAGGGGCGGAGAAAGGGGCGCAGGCTCATGACGTCAGGGACATGCTAGCAAGGTTTTCTCCCGCAGGAACCTAGTTTGCGACGGCTCTGAGAGAGTATGCTGGCAATGCTGCCCTAGCAAAGGAAAAACCACTCTCGCAAGGAGAAAGAGGCGGAGAAAGGGGCGGGGCGAGAGGTGGAGTCTCATGACGTCAGGGACATGCTAGCAAGGTTTGCTCCCGCAGGAACAGAGTTTGCGACGGGTCTAAAGATTTGATTAAAATGATCTAGGAACGTCTATGTCCTCTGGTGCAACTGCATGATTAATTTCCACTGGAAGTTAACCATTGAGTTACACAGGAGAACCTAGATTCCAAGAAAGGTGATCTCTTAGTTACTAGTGTTTTTATTCATGGTTTTTCCACATCTACAGAGCCCTGTACCCCTAAATCCTGTGAATCTGAAAGGCTGACTAGTTTTCATTTGATATGTAGCTTGATTTTAAAATAGAAACACAGTCACTCAAAAAAAAAATACAAATCACATCTAGTATGTGATTTGCTTTCTCTCAAAATATTTGTTGATTGTCCGTCTTTTGCTTAGGTTTTTTGATAAATAGAGCAATTCCAAATATTCTATGCTGATACTTGTCTTGATACTTCTGTGCTTATTTTTTCATTGACTTTAGTGTTGTGACAGTAACAGTGATGACAGAGAGCTGTGATTGTTGTTTTTAATTGAATAATTTAGGACAGTTATAATGTGATGCTGTTCTGCTCCAAATAGCTAATGCACTTTTTATTTGTCTCAGTGTTCCAGCCTTGTATTATTGCTGCCAGGAAGTGGACAAGAACTGGGAACAAATAATTCAGCACTTTGCAAATTAAAGTACAAGGCACTTGGGTGAAAGAGAATAGAGTGGTGTAGAAAACATAAAGGGCAGTGTGTTAAAAAGTATTTTTAATTGACAGGTTGAAGAAGGCACACTTTTCTTTTACAAATGAACATTTACAATTATTTTGGTTCAAAAGATTTCACATGATGTAGAAGAAAATGTCTGTGTGGAAGGCATAGCCAAACAAAAGGCTCTCAGTATGCCTGTAATTTACCCTTTGCAGAGTGGTTACTCTTTTTTAACCATTCTTGTGTCTAGATCAGCCATCACTCCAAAATGATTACTGTTTACAAACCCACATAATCTCGTCGATCATCTGGAGAGGCCCTGCTCTCGCACCCACCCCCTTCGCAGATGCGATCGGTGGGGACGAGGGAGAGGGCCTTCTCTATGGTGGCCCCTCAACTCTGAAACTCACTCCAAAAGGATATCAGACAAGCCCCCACATTGGCAGTCTTTAGGAGGAGCTTGAAAACATGGCTGTTCCAGTGTGCCTTCCCCGAATAAAGGAAACAAATGCCCTTTTCTGACTAATTCCCTGCAAAATGTCCTCTGAAGCACTTTATCTACCTGTTGGAGTGATCCCTCTACATTACCCTTTAACCCCCCCCCCCCACTTAGATATACCCTACTTCTGTTCACGCCCAGTGTTTTTAAATTTTTTCATTAATACGTCTGCCTGTGGTGTTTTAAAATTATCTTTGTGTTATAGCTTATATGTTATTTTTTAGTAATTGCACTGTGTTTTATTTGCTTGTTTACTGTGTTGTTTTTACTGATGTATTTTGTTGGGCTTTGCACCATGTAAGCCGCCCCAAGTCCCCTTGGGGAGATGGTGGTGGGGTATAAATAAAGTATTATTATTATTATTATTATTATTATTATAAAATAAGATGTAGGAAGAACAAATATCAAAGGCTTTATTATTATAATTTTTATTCTGCAGAAAAGTATGCTGTAATTAGTCCTAAGAATAATGTCTTCAGCATTCCTGTGTGGTTGCATTAATTCACACAAGCACAGGTTTTCTTATTTGTCTTCTGATAATAGCTTTGATTCTACAACCATCTGAATCTACTTCCTCATCTCACTGTGGCTCTTCTGTTTCTTGTAAAGCAGCTAATTCTGATAGCTTCAAGGAGCCATGGAAATGCAGTGTTGCTGTGTCACAATGGCATTGTACTTGGCTTTATTTATTTATAACTTAACCCATATAATGCTTTTATTTAAATAATAAAACATATATTGGTATTATTATTATTTCCATTTGTCTGTCGGCTATGAGTATAGGCTAAAGGGAAAATAAATGGGTCCCCATCCAATATTATCAGTCAGTAAGAGTGGTGTCAGTAAGAATGGAAGTTGAAGAAGACAACAGAATAGGAAGGACAAGAGACCTCTTCCAGAAAATCAGAAACATTGGAGGTAAATTTCAGGCAAAAATTGGTATGATAAGAAACAAAGATGGCAGGGACCTAACAGAAGCTGAAGAGATCAAGAGAAGGTGGCGAGACTATACAGAAGATCTGTATAGGAAGGATAATAATATTGAGGATAGTTTTGACAGTGTGGTGAATGAATTAGAACCAGACATCCTGAGGAGTGAGGTTGAATGGGCCTTAAGAAGCATTGCTAACAACAAGGCAGCAGGAGACGACGGGATCCCAGCTGAACTGTTTAAAATCTTAAAAGATGATGCTGTCAAGGTGATGCATGCCATTTGCCAGCAAATATGGAAAACACAAGAATGGCCATCAGACTGGAAAAAGTCAACTTATATCCCCATACCAAAAAAGGGAAATGCGAAAGACTGCTCAAACTTCCGTACAGTGGCCCTTATTTCTCATGCCAGTAAGGTAATGCTCAAGATCCTGCAAGGAAGACTCCAGCAATACATGGAGCGAGAGTTGCCAGATATTCAAGCTGGGTTTAGAAAAGGCAGAGGAACGAGAGACCAGATTGCCAATATCTGCTGGATAATGGAGAAAGGCAGGGAGTTTCAGAAAAAACATCTATTTCTGCTTCATTGACTATTCTAAAGCCTTTGACTGTGTGGATCATAATAAATTGTGGCAAGTTCTTGGTGGGATGGGCATCCCAAGCCACCTTGTCTCTCTCCTGAGGAATCTGTATAAGGACCAAGTAACAACAGTAAGAACTGACCATGGAAAAACAGACTGGTTCAGGATTGGGAAAGGCGTATGGCAGGGCTGTATACTCTCACCCAACCTATTCAGCTTGTATGCAGAACACATCCTGCGATGTGCGGGGCTTGATGAATGCAAGGCTGGGGTGAAAATTGCTGGAAGAAACATTAACAACCTCAGATATGCAGATGACACCACTCTGATGGCCGAAAGCGAGGAGGAGCTGAGGAGCCTTCTAATCAAGGTGACAGAAGAAAGCGCAAAAGCCGGGTTGCAGCTAAACGTCAAAAAAACCAAGATTATGGCAACAAGAATGATTGACAACTGGAAAATAGAGGGAGAAACCGTGGAGGCCGTGACAGACTTTGTATTTCTAGGTGCAAAGATTACTGCAGATGCAGACTGTAGCCAAGAAATCAGAAGACGCTTACTTCTTGGGAGGAGAGCAATGTCCAATCTCGATAAAATAGTGAAGAGTAGAGACATCAGACTGGCAACAAAGATCCGCCTAGTCAAAGCCATGGTATTCCCTGTAGTTACCTACGGATGTGAGAGCTGGACCTTAGGGAAGGCTGAGCGAAGGAAGATAGATGCTTTTGACTGTGGTGTTGGAGGAAAGTTCTGAGAGTGCCTTGGACTGCGAGAAGATCCAACCATCCATCCTCCAGGAAATAAAGCCCGACTGCTCACTGGAGGGAAGGATACTAGAGACAAAGTTGAAGTACTTTGGCCACATCATGAGGAGACAGGAAAGCCTAGAGAAGACAATTATGCTGGGGAAAGTGGAAGGAAAAGGAAGAGGGGCCGACCAAGGACAAGATGGATAGATGGCATCCTTGAAGTGACTGGATTGACCTTGAAGGAGCTGGGGGTGGTGATGGCCTACAGGGAGCTCTGGCGTGGGCTGGTCCATGAGGTCACGAAGAGTCGGAGACGACTGAACGAATGAACAACAACAAGAGTGGTGTCAGATTGTTCCAGTTATGCTATCTGTTACAGTATCGTTGCTAAAATGTAAGCTATGTACAGATTTAAAAATGCATCAGAAATATTATATTATTTTAAATACAGGGATAAAGCAATTAATCTGTAGGACATGACAATCTGTTCATCAGGCCGGGGGGGGGGGGGGCTAATCACATGCCTTGCTTTGTTGGAATGTATTTTAGATCTGGACAAGAGTTGGATATTCTAGATCTAAAGAAGTATAATATATTGAACATGTTTTTCTCCTGTATTTTTTGGGATGAAAGTTTAACTTTTACTGTGTTTTTTAGACTTCAACAAGACATGGACTACAAAGTGAATGACCCTGCTCTTAAAAGAGTAGCACTTGATGTTATCAAGTCACCCGAGGATAAACGGGAGTATCGTGGGCTAGAACTGGCAAATGGCATTAAGGCAATGCTTATTAGTGATCCCACCACAGACAAATCTTCAGCTGCACTTGATGTACACATAGGTATTTGATCAGTATTTTTAAACTTAGTAAACTAACTAAAAATAACAACTATCAATGGTTTCACTGCTTACAAGAGAGGCTGTAGTCCTAACCTTGCTAACAGTTTCACTGACATTTTTGTCACATAAGGGTCATGTTACTTTTGGTAAGATCATGTTCATCTAATTAATATTAGCCTAGCCAAATTTTATTACATTACTGTACAGAGGCCTAAAGATGGATACATTAAAACTAATGAATTAAACCATATTTAATTGCAGCAATATCACCTCATGATTTTAGGAGTCAGTTTTTATGTATATGCATAAATGCAGGTAGATAATTGCTGCTTGAAAGAAATATAATGAACTGATTTTTCTGAATGCCTTCTATGTCTTCAGGGCAGATCTTAGATATATGCTAGTAAGAGTGTGGCCTTATATAGTATATACTTTTCCGCCATGAAAGAGTATATAGTTCTGTACTCCTTAGTGAAGCTAGCCTCAGTAGTATAAAAATAGCTATATAAACTACTTTTTGTTAAAAAATATTATATTTTATGATGGCCAATTATTTTATGTGTCACCTTCTACACATAGATAACATGTGAAGGAAATAGTGTAACACCAGGATGGGAAGGATTATTAATGACCTATGAAAAGTTAGCAGCAGGTAACTTATGTAAAATGGTTATGGTAGTTGGATGGTAAACTAGAAAATGACGCGTTGGTGTTGCACACATAGAATAAAAAGATGACTGATATTATTTTGACTAAATGTTTTTTTTGCCTTGGATCAGAGTTATTTATTTTTTTAAATGTCTTATTCAATCTCTTTTTAATGTTCGGAGCACTTACACAAGCATCAACCTCTTTTTAATACTGTATTTATTATAATTGCAGTATAGGTTCACATAAAAGAGAAGATGAAGCCGTTATTTACCAGCAAGTAACTTCAAGCATAATTTATCTACAAAGAAAAGTAGATGGACCTTATTCGCTAAATTTTGGCAGACCAGAGTCCCTGAACTAGCAAAAATGATAACAAAGTGTTGCTTTTGCTGAGCTGTTTTGATTTATGCGGTTTTCCTTACACTAAAGGATATGGGCTGTTTCATAAATTGTAATCTGTAATTGTTTAGAAACAGAATACTATTAAAGGTAAACACTTGTATAGTGTGGGGTGAGATTATCCATATTTTTTCCTCTTCCATTAGGTTCATTGTCTGATCCCCCTAATATCGCTGGGTTAAGCCATTTTTGTGAACATATGCTGTTCTTGGGAACTGAAAAATACCCCAAAGAAAATGAGTACAGCCAGTTTCTCAGCGAACACGCAGGGAGTTCAAATGCCTTTACAAGTGGAGAGCACACCAACTATTACTTTGATGTATCACATGAACATTTAGAAGGTGCCCTGGATAGGTAAGGATATATATTAACAATTCAATATATGTATTAAGTTTGTATGCTTGACGGAGTACCATTATCCTTTAGCAGTATAATTCCTATAAAGAGTATTAATCATCTATGATTTTTCAATAGCATGCCATTTGTAATCACTTCAAAATGCAATATATTATGAAATGAACCTTTTCAGTGCTGTTACAGAAAAAGGTTTTTAGTGAGAACAGATTCAAGAGTAGAATGATGTATGCTTTAAAACTTCATATGCTTTGTTTAACAATTCACTGTTCTAGCTTACGCTTTTGCTTAGATGTTCAACTTTCAGCTATTCTTAAAAGGCTTACTTCTTTTGTATAGTTGTTGAAAACAAGGCATACTCATGCTAGTGCTGCAGTTTAGTGCAAATGGGTTCATTGCTGAGTTAACCATATTGAGTGCATTGCTGAACAATCCCTTGGCACTTTAGGAGCTCCTTTTTTAGTATATAAAGTTGATCTATTTTTTAATTTTTAAAATACAATCTAAAATCCTAGATTTTTAGAATTAATGAAATGAATTTATCAGGGAGCTAATAAGAAGGCCTCTTTTGATCAAAGCTCTGGGCATTTTGAAGGGTGGATACCAGGGCCACTGTAGTCCTGCAGTCAGCCTCTAGTTGCTATTCAGTTGCCATCAACCTTGGGAGATTCTTAGTGGGAATTCATTAAATTATATGAGAAGGAGTTGATCTGCCCACTAGTTTTTGTCATAGTGTGAGTGAGAAGCTTGATGCATGGGAAGGGCTATTTCTGAGCTTACACATTTTAAGGTTCAGCATTCATATCCAAATTTTAGGAGATTTACCTAGGATAAGGGGGAAAAAGTGGTTAAATCTGTGGTGGTGGTGGTGGTGGTGATGATGATGATGATGATGATGATGATGATGATGATAACAATAACGTTATTTCTAGACTGCCCTCTTTCCCTGGAGGGATAAAGGATGGTTTACACACAAAAAGGCAAACATTCAATGCCTACAAAATGTGTACAAACACATCAAAATAACACAGGATAATAGATAGTAACAACAATAAACTTTACAATGAAAGAATTCAGCAGCAAAATAAATATAAGACAGGAACAATCCACTGATACATAAATAACTAAAACATGAGTAAACATTACAGTATACACCCTAAAAGCAAATTAAAAACATTATATTAAAAATGGCTGGCACCTGTGCTTCATTTAAAATATATCATAGCAGATAGAAGATAGATAAGAAGTCAGGCTAGATGTATCACAATTTAATAAGTTCCTAACCAGTCTGCTCACTACATTCTCTTACAGTCCAATTTGAAATATCAGTATTTGCATCTTAGAAAGTCTTGGGTGTGCAGGGAAGCTAGCACTTTCTCTAAGAAAACACTTTCTAATTTGAACTGTGGATACAAGAGACTGGGTATAACAAGGGACTGTGATCTCATCTGGATTAAGGAAATTGGGGAGAGTGCCTTAGGAGTGAGTGCCTTAGCAGTGAGACACAATGTTCATGTGCCTTGGTGGACCAGGGGGACAAACCAGGAGGGCAAATTTTGATACTTGAGATTTTAAATGTTCTTGGCAAATATTATTTATGCGTTAGAATTTAACCATTAGCAACAGAAGAAAAATTACATATGGAAATATGCTCATGTCTCTGACTAAAAGACAGATTCATTAAACATTTCTATGATTATTCTAAAGTGAAACCTATCACAAGGTTTTCTTGGCAAGATTTGTTTAGAGGGATTCTCTTAGGTTGAGAGACTGTCACTTGCCAAGGGTCACTCAGTGGATTTCCATTGCCAAGTGGGACTTTGACCTCTGGTCTCCAAATTCATAGTTCAGCAGTCAAGCCAATAGACCGTCCTGTCCCAAAGAAAAACTAGAAGAGTGGGTAGGGGAAACAGGAATTTTCCACACAAAGGTTTTCAAATTATAACCAAAGGAGAATGTTAGTAAATGTAACAAGCCAAAGGGTTAAGATTAAAGTGTCTTCTGGGAGTGTCCTAAAGTCATAATTCGTAGGATTAGTCTCAGATGCCACCTCATATATAGTAGGCATCTTCCAAAGAGATTTGGAATGGCAACATTCAGCCAGAAGTAATACATTCTTTGTGATAGATAAGCATCTAATCTCATAGGGCAAAAGTTTGTGTAGTAGGTGGAGGTTGTTTTTATCAAATACAACAGATTGCATCTTAGCAGCCACTTAAGGGTGGTGTCTGTCCTTTCTAATACTCAGGCTCCAAGTGAGCAAATTTAATAAAGAAGTAGGTATCTATCCCTTGGGTTAACAAAGAATGATGTGCTTCACCATGCTGTTAATGCTCCAGAATGAATGTAATACTATTTTAAGCTTTGAAAAATGTAGTTGTGTGGTCAATTGCATACTTTTGAAAAAATATCAATTTTCTTTCATGTAGATTTGCCCAGTTTTTCTTGTGTCCTCTGTTTGATGAAAGCTGCAAAGACCGAGAAGTGAATGCTGTTGATTCTGAGCACGAGAAGAATTTAATGAACGATGCTTGGAGGTTGTTTCAGCTAGAAAAGGCAACTGGAAATCCCAATCATCCCTTCAGCAAATTTGGCACAGGTGTGTAAAAGTGTGTGTATTAAACTTGGAAATATTGGACTCTCCAGGCATACAGTATGATACTGCATCTCATTCTTCTATATTAGTAGAAAAAAAATTGTTTAATAAAAATTTCATAATATGCGGTGTGGAATTTGTTTTGATGATGCACCTTATATGGTTATAACCTCAGCTCTTAATTCACATTTAAAATCCAGTAGACTCACTGTAGGTCTTTGTGTAAGATGCCCACAGTGAATGAAGTGTGTGTTAAACTTTTGAATTGATATAGTAATTAGGATGAGCTAAAATATTTTAAATCATTGACATGATTTAAGGCCATAATAAAAGCATAATGTGGCTCCTAAATACCCTGGAACAACTGTATGGATACCTAATAATATTACAATTATTTTCTGAATACAGTTTTGCTCTTTAGAACCACTTACAAAATAAGATGATTGACAAAATAAGAGATGTCCAGAGATAATACTGCACTAGCAGAGTGAATGAAGAAGTGAATTAGAATTAGGTGCCACCTACATCGTGTTGAGTTATTTCACAAATATAATGGGCCTGCTTTATCCATGGGTTCATGATCCCTAGATTAAACCCACTGTGGATTCAAATACACACAATGCATTTGAATCTGAGGTGGGAAACATGCCAACCACCTGTTTCTCCTCCATTTTTAATGAGGACCTGACCATGCACAAGGGGTCCTGCAGATACCAAGGGCTTCCTGTATATTAAAAAGCCTTCGAAAGAAAAGTCAGCTTTAGGAGTTAAAACGAAAAACAGTAATCTCCTTGTGCTATCATCTAATACTTGTATCATTATCTAAGCAATACAGTCACTTCATTTTTCTGAGATATGATGCAATAGTATTTTGTCTATTTATTTAATTATACCCTGCCTTTCCCCCATGGGAACTCAAGGCGAATAACACTCAGCTGTAAACAAGTTTAAAAGGTGCAATGTTGTTGTTGTTCATTCGTTCAGTCGTCTCCCACTCTTTGTGACCTCATAGACCAGCCCACGCCAGAGCTCCCTGTCGGCCGTCACCACCTCCAGCTCCAGGTGCAATACAAAGGTTAAAAAACAAATAACAGCGTGGTAAAAACAGAATTGAAATACAGTAAATACTCTAAAATGACCTTTAAAGCTCATATTCCCCCTAATCCAATATGTCAAGTGATACTGAAAGCCATTGAGAGAGAATCAGCAGAAGATATGAAGATTCTGAGAGAATAACAGTGGTCCCTTCCCATATTTTAATCCAGTGTACGTCACCCATGATTACATGGGTTGGATTGGACTGGATGGCCCACAAGGTCTCTTCCAACTCTATGATTCTATGATTCTATAACCACAATATACTTAGAACCAGTGACAACCGTTGCTTTGAAACAAACTGTGTAGAAGTAGGATTACAAACAATTGCAGCAGTCCAGCAGGATCACTGTAAATTGTGTGTGCACCTGAGGCATTTCTCCTCAGTCTCTCTTCACTACAGAAGTGGGTCCTCTGCTGAATTGATCGAGGAGGCAGTGTTTCAAGGCCAAAAACCACTCAGGTGTATTTTTAAACCATAAATATGAGCATGGGAACTAACAAAAGATTAAGTGGATAAGAGTTATTCTTCATTAAACTAGAGATTAACTAGATTATAGAATCATAGAGTTGGAAGAGACCACATGGGCCATCAAGTCCAACCCCCTGTCATGCAATAAAGCACAATCAAAGCACCCCGGACAGATGGCCATCAAGTCTCTGATTAAAAGTCACCCTGAGTCCCCTTGGGGAGATGGGGCGGGTTATAAATTATTATTACTATTATTATTATTATTATTATTATTATTATTATTATTATTAAAAACCTCAAAAGGAGGAGCTTCCACTACACTCTGAGACAGAGAGTTCCACCGTTGAACAACTCTCACAGTCAGGAAGTTCTTCTTAATGTAATTTGTCTTACATATTAAATGGATTGTTCTTTTTATTTGTTGTGCTTTTTTTTGTTTTTATAAAGAACATAGCACTTCTAGCCCCCCTGCATTTTGTATAAGGTAGTATAGTGGTGGTTTGTGATTAAAATGTTTGGAGACTTGTCAAGTTGTGTGCTCTCAGTGATTGATTTGACAAGCTGTTGATTCTCAGCAATTGGCTCCTACTGATTTCTTATTTATCTGTAATGATTTTTTTAATATTGCTTCTCGGTGTTTATTGCTACTGCTTGTTAAAATAAGTTGATTATTTTGTATATCCTTGTTCTTATTTTAAATACATTGTTTTCAACTCATTTAGTTTATGTTTCTTTGCCTTAAGCTTCCTCTCAGTAATACATTCTCTCAGCTCAGAATACTGAATTTTAGCTTCACTTTGCATAGCAGTAGCATTTGAGTCAGCATGTTGGAAATAAAATTCTAGCCTCGAATTTTCTTTTCAATGACAACCAGAAAAGATTGTGGTTGAAACACTGATGAGACCAATTTTTAACTTCGAAAGATGAAATACTGTAGAGTAGTTCTGATTGCACTAATACAATAGCATTTAAAATTTCAGAGCTCTTCATTAGGTATATATAAAGCTATGTCTTGATCTAGACATAATGTTCTCAACCAGCATCACACTACATTCCAATATCTCTCTTCATCATTCATATGTTCATCTACTACTGACCTTAGCTTTAGGCAATACCTTTCCTCTCACTTCCTCCCACGGCCATCACTATCAGTAAAACTGAATCTCATCACCTCATCACCACACCAACAAGCTTTGCATTTCTGTTGCTCTTCACACATGCAGTCTGTTCATTCATGTAAATGACTGTCCCTAGATACCTCACTACCTGGATCTGAGTCTGTGAATATTTATGCTACCAACCTCTTCCTCTCAGTCACAAACTTGTTACAGATTTTTGTGCATACCAAATATTGTGCATACCAAATATTCCTAGAGGGCTTTCTCAAATGTTTCATTTAAAAGAATAGAGCTTCCTTATAGAAACATAACTGGGAAACTATGATATGAGTGTTGTCACAGCACCCATGGTAGCAAAACACTTGTTGGTCCTTATTGGGAGCTCTTAAACCAGTTTTCTGTCACTATGAAGAATCTGTCATAACATACCAGGAGGTCTTCTAAGGAGAAGGAGGTGTTAAGCAGATTGCTCCTTTGTGCTCTAGCAATGAAGCATGACTAAATTTAGTCAAGAAATTTAGATCAGTAATGTTGAAAGTAATGTGAGATTCTGTTTTACTTTCCCCATATCACATTCCTTCAAATCTTTTGTGTTTTCTATACCTGCATGTAAATGACATAGCCTGCAAGATAGTGGGAGTACTCAAGGTTCACATATGAGGAGCACATTCAGAATTATATGTGTTGTTTTTATTCTGTGAAATGTCATATCATGAAGACAAGAATAAGATTTTGCAGAAAAATCTTTTTGAGGATTACTTGTGTACACAATTAAAGATTTCAAAAGGAATTCTAGGCTACTTGGACTAAACCAAAAAAGATCTTACTTAGGTTCTGAAATCTAGAAATAGGATAAACTTCTATGAACCAAAAGAAACATCTCATAAAACACAAAAATGGGAATGAATGTTCATCTGTTATAATCAATACAGATGTCCTTTTAATCCTCATTATGTGATCTGGTTGTGAAATGTGTGCAATTGTCTTGCTTGTGATTACAAGTATCAGCAATCTTTAAGAAACTGATTTCACATTTATGTCTGTTTGTAACACATCTTTTATTTGACTTGTGTTACAGGAAACAAACTAACTTTGGAAACTAGACCAAATCAAGAAGGAATAGATGTAAGGCAAGAACTGCTGAAGTTTCATTCAACTTATTATTCATCAAATTTAATGGCTGTCTGTGTTCTAGGACGAGGTGAGATTGATAAACTTATGGGAGTTTATTTTATAATTATTTTAAAATTTGACACAGCATTGGAATACGTTATTATTTATTTCATGTCAAAAGCATTGCATAAATAAGTATAAAGATGATAAAAAATAGAAGGAGCACAAGCAGCTAAATAAATTTTGACCAAAAACAGTGACTGCATTGTCTGTAACCTTAAACAATTTTTTCCACTGTGCATGAGGCAGGGCATAGTGGGCAAGCATACAGATGTGGAGTTGTTCTACTTCACAGCCGCACAAGGTAGAGGATTCTTCTAGGTAGTGCCATTTTGCCAGGTTGTCTTTTGATCTGCCCACTCCCACAGTAGTGTACAATGCCTGTGGATTTATTACGTTGATTCTAATCAAACCTGTTTCTTATTGTTGTCTTATGAGACTGTATGTTTCTGTGCAAAAATATTGATGTTGAATAATAGGATTTATATTTTTTAAATCCAGTCCACCTAAATACAATGTTTGTGCCTTTTATTTTAAGTATTTTGAAGAACTTTATTAGCCTAGTTTATAAAGTCAAAATCATTCCTACATTTCAGGATTCCAAACAGCAAAGGTGATTATAGTGCTCTTCTTATTGATCTGAAATAGATCACAGAAGCTATCTTTCTTTGCTTTGTGCACACAGCTTCCTTCATCCCTCTTTACCCTGGCTCATTTTGTAGGTTTCAGTGTTGCATATCTTAGATGAGGGCACAAAAAACCAGGGATAGGATTGGAGGAGGAATTCGGATGTGTGTAAGAAGGAGAAAGGAATATACAGTCTCCTCATAAACTCTTACATTTAGGTTAGGCTTTGATGTTTGCCTCTGCCAGCACTCACATTTGCACATGTGAATTGATAAGATGATTTTAATATTCTGTAACAGGACTCTATGTGGGCTGGAGGTTTGTGCTGAGAGTGAAAAATTTTGTGCCTCTGAAATTTTGGCACTAGGAAAATGTCATTTCTTATATAAAATATAGTTTGCAACCCCTTTAAAGGTATATTGATATTTACAAGGATAAATAAGTGCTTAACAAAACCTAGTTGGGCATTCCTTTAATGAGCATCAGTCCCCTAACACCCCCTCAATCTCCATATATTCCCTGCTCTCCAGTCTAGACCCAATATTTATCTATTTATTTACGACATTTATAGCCCGCCTTTCTCAACCATTTGGCGACTCAAGGCGGGTTACATATTGGCACGATTCAGTGCTGTGCATTCATAAAAGTGTGATTAAAAACAGTCAACATAACAATATAAAAACCATTAAAACATAAGAGTCACCAATGTCATCTTGTTAGGGTTAGGGATATATTTCATATATCTTCGGAGCATATATATTGTAGGCAGAATACACTGTAATATGCACTGCAAAAAAATCCAGAATTGCATAATTATAAGGATAGAACTTTTATTTTTGAAGCATGCACATTAAACTGCATTAATTTTTGGTTGTGTACCCTATATATTTATTTATATGTTTAGAAATTTTAGTCAAAAAATGCATGGTCAGTGTCAGTGCTGTATCTTATGATACTCTGAGGCAGTACTAGTGCTTTCCCCTCTCTGCAGAATGATCCTTGACTTATCCACGGGTCATATCAAAATCCATAATTTTGCCCCAAACCCTGCTCTCAATTTATACATGAAGTGTACTTAAATTTAGTATATGTAGTCGCTTTTCTTAAAGGTCTGTTAAATGAGCTTTGTTTAATAGAAAGAGTAAAGCAAATTGAGCGAACATCATGACTATAAGCAACTTTTCTTTTTACATATAGAATCTCTAGATGAGCTAACCAATTTGATAGTAAAACTATTTTCTGAAGTAGAGAACAAAAACGTTCCATTACCTGAATTCCCTGAACATCCTTTCCAGCAGGAACATCTCCGGGTAGGTTTGAAACGTTATGGTAACTTTTTATTTGGATCTGACTCTTCATTGGACTCTTGGTTTAATCTTAAATTGCGTTTTTTAAATTTCACAGCAACTGTACAAAGTGGTACCTATTAAAGATATTAGAAATCTTTACGTCACATTTCCAATACCAGACCTTCAGAAGTACTATAAATCTAACCCTGGCCATTATCTTGGGCATCTTATTGGGCATGAAGGTCCAGGAAGTCTTTTATCAGAACTGAAATCTAAAGGTAAGATTTGAAATAAATTGATATCTAAGCATTATGCATAGATTTGACATAAGTTCTTCTACAGTGACATATTTTTGGAAGATTTATGTGGAAAGGAAGAGAGCCCAAAGCAGAACTAGACTACCAAGAGAAGAATATCTGAAAGGTTAAAGTCAAAGGAAAACCTAAGAGGGGAGTGGAGTTCACAGAGTGAGGAGTTGAAGGAAAAAATGTGACAGGATGTAGGAAAAGAGGGTTTGTGATCAGACTGGATGACAGAGGGAGAACCTACACATAAGCAAAACAAGAATTGGAAAGAGAGAAAAGGGTTAGAATGTGGCTCCAATTGCAGTGAGATGCAGAAAATACCGTATATACTCGAGTATAAGCCGACCCGAATATAAACCGAGGCACCCAATTTTACCACCAAAAATGGGAAAACTTATTGACTCGAATATAAGTCGAGGGTGGGAAATGCAGCAACTACTGGTAATACAAAATAAATATAGATACCAATAAAATTACATTAATTGAGGAAACAGTAGGTTAAATGTTTTTCAATGTTTACATAAAACTGTAATTTAAAATAAGACTGACCAACTTTGATTAAACCATTATTTTAACCTTTTTCAGTGTCAATGTGCTTACGTATCCTTCCAATAATAATAAAGTAAAATAATAAATGTAATAACAACAATAATGAAGTAAAATAATAAATGTAATAATAATAATAATAATAGAGTAAAAATTGTAATAAAATAATAGAGTAAAATAATGCAAATGTAATAATACCAATAATAGAGGAAAATAATAAATGTAAAAAATAGTAATAGCAGAGTAAAATAATAAATAACTTTGACTCGAGTATAAGCTGAGGGCAGCTTTTTCAGCCTAAAAAGGGGGCTGAAAAACTAGACTTATACTTGAGTATATACAGTATATCTGCTGTTATCTAGCCATGTGGAAAGCTCTTTAGGAGGCTCCAGAGTAGAGGTTTATGAAATAGGGCCTGATGCAAAGGAAATAATATGAAAAGTGTCCCAGAGACTAAGACAATGAGGAATTTGAAACTGTACAGCCATCTTCCTATCTAAACTGTGTAATCTCATGATCTGAAGCAATGAAGTGTGAGCCTGCATTGTATAGTTACAATGCTTGATAATTGATAATTGCCATAGTTCTGTTCTGTGGAATCTTGGGATTTGTATCCTGGGTATTTGTTCAACAATTTTCTGTTAAGAGTGTTCAATAGGATGGAGTCATGACAGTTAAAATGAAACTGAGCTCTTGCAAATCTGTAATGTAAATACTCTCTAGGTTGGTATAGCCTTCTGGTGATATACTTTATGATATAAAGTAGCCTCCTGTGAGGCCAGAACTAATAGAGACTTTTCTCCTTGTGCCTTCTTTAAGGGAAGTATGTTACTTATCTACAAACAAGCGTGTATTTTGTAGTTGCATCACAACTTTGGAACACTGTGTATAAGAGGTGTTATTAGCACTTTTTATTTTTAACCCCATTTAAGTAGTAGCATTGCCTCTACTTGCTTTGTGGTTTTATAATATCATCTTTCTGTTTGATCAGTTGTTGTGATTTACTATTATTATATTAAAGTGTCATGACTTTGTGTGCAACCCTAAAACCCATCTGATGGGATGTTATTTGAAAATATTTTAGGTAATTAAAATAAAACTACATGTCTGTAGTTATTCTCTTCTTTAACAAGTTTTCATAGTGTTAGAACTCTGGTTTGTTAATCAGTGGTTTATCTGTTAATCACTGACTCATTGTATACCTAAAGAAGTACTCCTTGCCCTTAGAGCTATGATGCAAGGGCAGTTCTCTTTTCTGATTATATATATTGCTTAGTCTTTGCTGCATGGAGTCACATGATGGATTATTATATTGTTAGGTTGCTAGTTTTCAGATTTTGACAGCTCATCATCCGATTAGCTTTGCATGCCAAACCATACTTGATAACTTGAAACCACCCATAGCAGCATTTGTATTCCCTTCTGTCAAACTAAGCTGTTGCAGTTACAGCTTCTTTGCTCAGTGTTTTTTTACTGGATCCACAGGGCTTTCCTGGCAGCACATAGCCACAGATCTCTGTGGTTTAGAAGCAGCTCTGCCTGTCAGATGGGATCGAGGAAAGAGGCCAAAAGTGAACCAGTGTGGCATAGTGGTTTGAGTATGACACTACCTCTCTGGAGACCAGGGTTTAAGTCTCCACACCCTTTTGGAAACCTGTTGGATTACTCTGGGCAAGTCATGCTCTCAGTCTCAAAGGAAGGCAATAGCAAGCCCCTCTGAACAAGTCTAGCCAAATAGACCCCATGTTAGGTCTGAACTGATGTGAAGATAATGCCTGCAAAAGTCAAATCTGGAATAGCTATAATACAAGGCAAGCCATTTCTGAATTTTGGAAGGAGGTGGCCTGGTTTATTCATTTTTGAATAAACCTTATGTGAGGCTTATCTCTATCAAAATAAATATCTAAGTATTCATAAATGCTGAAAGAAGATAGAACTGCACCTCTTTCCATTTAAATATTTTACGCTGCAGAATTACAATGTGAACTATAGTAATTTTATTCTGAGACTTCTCTGAGTTGTGCAGTAAAATTCTGTGGATACTTAGAGATAAATCACATTATGTTCAGTAGCTTACATCTAGGTATGTATGACAGGATTTGTCTAAAATGCTGCTAAAGGTTATGTAAAAATATAAAAGAGGATGTGAGGTCATCTACCTAAAAACTTTGCATGGTTATCTTCTCTTCCAAATGAACTCTACTTATGGTGATACAGAGAAACAAAGAGATGTTTTTCCTCTTAAAGTTTAATTGTCTTTCCTTATGTATCAAGAAAGAGAAGGAACAGAAAAGAACTGTAGGAATGCATCATCTTGTGACACTCGTGTGATAACTGATCACATGAAATGTTATTAGCAAAGAAGAGCATGTGTTGAAGAGAAGATACTGAGCTCCAAAGTGCCCTCAAGTTACAAACAAGATTGGTTCTGTAGGTTTGCTCTGAAGTTGAGTTTGTATGTAAGTCAGAACAGATACATTTTTAAAGTGTTACTCCAGCCAAACGTGTGTGTGTATATACATACACACACACATATACATACATATGCACGTGCACGCACACACATGCATGCTTTGGATTGCATAGGAAAGGGTTAACATCCAGTGGGCTTCATTTTGCTGTCTGTGCCCTTGTTCAGAAGATTTTAACCCACTTTCTGTTCCTGTGATCATTGGATTTTGAAAAAAAAAAAGGCTTGTGGAAACAAGGATTGATGATAAAGCTTTGCTTGAGATGCGTTTTCCCTTGAAAACTCTTTCAGGAGTGGATTTTCCTGCAGAAGGGAAGATTTCTTTCACTTCCTGTTGTCTCGCCCACTTTCTTTGAATAGTTTATAAGTCAGATGTTTGTAACTTGGAGACTACCCTTATGTGCAAATCTGTACCATTTTAGCCCATAGTGTTGGAAGAAGCAACCTTCTCAAGCCTTCTTTATATGATGTTTGTCTGTTTTATAATGTGTCATTTTATAACATGAAGTATATGTCTTATTTATAGTTTACAGTTACCTCATCTCTATATACCTAAAGCAGTGGGAGAGGCTGCAGGTCACGTGACTGACTCAGTAACAGTTTAGCATGTTCAGGTTTAAACAGGATGTCTGTTAGGGAATGTCGATTGAGGAATGACTTTTTTGTGAATGAGCTTGAGTATAAAAGTCTGACTGAGTGCAGAAGCTCCTGTTACGAAGTTAGAAACTATTGAGGCTTGTGTTTTATTTGAAAGTAAACTCTTATTAAAGAGAGCTGTATAAAGTAACATGGTTTATGAAGGAACTGTTAAAAATTATAAGTTCAAGATACAAACTCTCTGAAACATTCCTGAGGTTTTTAACCCTTGACAAGAAATGTGCTTGTTTTATTGTGTAATAGAGTAATGTTTTGTTATTGCTTATGTTTTTAATTTGCTTTGTATTGTATTGTTATTGTCTGTTGTTGTTGTTGTGTTGAGGCCTTGGCCTTTGTAAGCCGCATCAAGTCCTTCGGGAGATGCTAGCAGGGTACAAATAAAGTTTAATAATAATTAATAATAATACACTGGCAGCAATTTGATGCCAAAAGATAATACAAATATAAACAAATATGAAAACAGTTTAAAACAGTAAATAAAACATTAAGTTAAAACACATTAAAAACAGTGTACCCTTTTGTCTGCATCATATGTTATCAAAGACCCGAAATTGCTCTTTGCAGACATTTATGAAGATATGCACACACATTATTCTAAGTATCCAATTCAATTACTCCTCTACCAAACATGGGGCATTGCTTCATTGCTGTTATTTCCTTGCAAGTTACTCTAGCCCTTGTATTGCCTCCTTAGATTATCAGCCCCTAAATATCCAGTTATACAAATTTTCTACTTTGAAAAAATAATAAGAAATGTTTATATGATTTCCAGGTTATGCAATAGTAATAATACAATCAGAAACTTGTCCCAAGGATAAAATGCTCAAGTAGCCTAGTCCAGAGGTTTCTTGTATACTCAGGGCGTCCCTTGGACTTGACCATAGTCGGGCTATACAGACATGCATTTTTGTAATAGGAAAGAAGTACTGAAGCAGATTAGTCCAATTCAGTAGTCTTCCCTGAACTCCTCTCTATTTTCTGTGAGTACCCGATGTGTGAATTGGCAAGCTGAAATTACTGTTTGAACTAGAAGCAGAAACCTTTTTAAACAAGGCCTAAAACTGAACATAAGTGGGACATGGGAGCTACTTGTAAAAGGAGGGTCATCTGAACGGAAACTGTTAATCTGTAATATATTCTGCGTTGAAACCTGTTGTTTAACATACTCTTATGCTTAATTCCTGCCTTCATTTATTCTCAATCTGTAAACTCCATCTGTTTCCTTCATAATAATATTTTATAGGTATAGACCAAAACCACATACATTTGTCCTTAGAATGTGTGTACAAAAATAAAAGCTTGTGAAAATAAAAGTCAGTTGTTATGCCTAAATGTTGGATGCACTTTATTCCACAGGCTGGGTAAATACGTTGGTTGGAGGTCAAAAAGAAGGTGCTAGAGGCTTCATGTTTTTCATCATTAATGTTGATCTTACTGAAGAAGGACTTTGTAAGTCAAGCTCTTTTTTCTGTTTTTGCTTTGTTTAATCTAAATATGATGCTCCAAGAAGGCATTTGTGTGTTGTGAGAAATAATTTAGTAGAAAATTTATTCTAGATAAAAGCCCATATTAAACTAGTGTGTTGAAGATGAATGAATATCTTCAGAGAAATTTGCTCTTGTAGTCTTGCTTTGGAGGTAAGGTTGTTTTTAAAAGTTCTCTCTGGAGATTGTTGGTCAAGCAGCTCAGTTAGTGGCTGTCATGTAGACTTGATAATATTCCCCTTCTTCTGAATCCTCCTGACATTCCCTCACAATAGTTCCTGGCACATTTTATTCTGCTGAAAGTAGCGGAAATCCACCTGCAGTTTGCCACTGTTTTCTTAATTGGCCAGCGGTTCCTCATTCTAATGGTCTTAAGTAATTGATCTTCAACCTGCCATCTCTAAGATTCTTTTTATATCAGAGAGATTAGTTGATGACTTTTTTTTTTCATGTCAGAAGCGACTTGAGAAACTCCAAGTCACTTCTGGTATGAGAGAACTGGCCGTCTGCAGGGACGTTGCCCAGGGGATGGCCGGATATTTTACCATTCTGTTAGGAGGCTTCTCTCATGTCCCTTCATGGGAAGCTGGAGCCGACAAACGGGAGCTCACTCTATTTCACGGATTCAAACCGCCAACCTTCAGGTCAGCAGCTCAGCCGGCACAAGGGTTTAACCCATTGCGCCACTGCGGCTCCTTTATGGCATTTGCTTCCTAGACTGCACATTTATTCTGCAGTTTGCATATGAATGTTTGCATATGAATTTGTTCTGCAGTTTTCATATGAACGTATCTGATGTATGTGACACATTTTTCAAGAATGCTTGTACTTTTAGGGTGCATCTACACTGAAAAATTAATGTAGTTTGACGCCATTGCTAACCAAACTACAAATCTCATGATCCCATAATACTGAGCCATGACAGTTAAAGTGGTGTCAAACTGCATACATTCTACACTGTAGATGTACCCTTAGTTTCTACTAGTTTAGCCTCCATCAAAAAAATGAGTTGCTTTTTTGAGTTATAAGGGCCAAATTAAATATGATACTGAAGAGGTCTTTTCCATTCCTGGAGATAATATCAGCTACATAAAGGTTTTTAAAATCAGTATTTCTTAAGCTATCTTATGTAGTAGAGCAGTGGTTCTCAACCTTCCTAATGCTGCGACCCCTTAATACAGTTCCTCATGTTGTGGTAACGCCCAATTGTAAAATTATTTTTGTTGCTACTTCACAATTGTAATTTTGCTACTGTTATTAATCGTAATGTAAATATCTGATATGCAGAATGTATTTTCATTCACTGGACCAAATTTGGCACAAATACCTGATACGCCCAAATTTGTATACTGGTGGGGTGGAGAGGGTGTGATTTTGTTATTTGGAAATTGTAGTTCCTGGGAGTTATAATTAACCTACAATCAAAGAGCATTCTGAATTCCACCAACAATGGAATTGAACAAAACTTGGTACACAGAACTCCCATGACCAACACAAAATACAGGAAGGGTTTGGTGGGCATTGACTTTGAGTTTTGGAGTTGTAGTTCACCTACATCCAGAAAGCACTATGGACTCAAATAATGATGGATCTGAACCAGATTTGGCAATATACCCAAATGTGAACACTGGTAGAGTTTGGGGAAAATAGATCTTGACATTTGGGAGTTGTAGTTGCTGGGATTTATAGTTCATCTACAATCAAAGAGCATTCTGAACCCCACTAATGATAGAATTGGGCCAAACGTCTCACACAGAACCCCCATGACCAACAGAAAATATGTGTTTTCTGATGGTCATTTTGACCCCACTGACACCCCCCTCGCGACCCCCCCAGGGGTCCCAACCCCTAGGTTGAGAAACACTGTGATAGAGTAACATATTAGTTAGGATAGTACAGAAGAAGTAAAAGTCATAAATCACTTTCCCAGTTTCTAGTTACATAGGATTAGTCACTCATTGTTTTTATTCCTCACACAGGAGATACTCATGCCAGATTCTTGCATCATTTGTTTTGGCCCTAAGACTTATGTTTTCCTAAGACATTGCTCATGTAAGCAATCTTCCTTTCTTTCTTTTAGTGCACGTGGAAGATATCATTTTGCACATGTTTCAGTATATACAAAAGCTGCGTACAGAAGGACCGCAAGAATGGGTTTTTCAAGAATGCAAGGTATGATCTTTTTATACAAGTATTTGCTGCTTAGTCTGTTGCATTCAAAACAATATCTTTAAAAACTTACCAGTAGTATTGTGGCAAGCTTAGCGCTTTAATAGTTACCCACATTGGATCTTTTAATATTAAAATTATATATATAGGGTTTTTTTAAAATACAAATTATACATTATACAATAATTTGCAATTTGCAAACACCTTAAATTTATCATAGTTACAGAGCACACAATTTTATCAGAAGTGTAACAGTAAAGTTTTTAGGCTTCTTTCTGATTACTTCAGTCTTGCTCAATACTATCTTAGTTCTTTTCATTAATCTTTCTCTTGTCCCTTGCTGTCAACATCTACCTCATTATTTTCATTGCCACATATTCTTAAATTAGGATGCCATGGAGACACACCAAGAGGTATAATCTCTTAGAAATACCATATAGCAATTTTAAGTCAAGGATGGAAGGATGAGTAGGTTATAGGTCTGTGTTCTGTCATTTCTGGTCCTCTGTCCACCATATGCAGGAGAAAACTTTCTTGTGTAATCTAGCCAACACAAGAATAGGAGTGTCTTATATGCTTAAACTCCTTAAACTATATCTTAAACTTGTTAAGATGTAATATGTGAGTCAGGGCTGTTATTGTCACACACTAGGTCAGGAACACCTTTACACTCAGCCTCAAACAGATTCCAGTAGCTGCTGTCTACAGAATCTTATTTACAAAAGGCTAATACAAAAGGGAAAAAAGGCATTTCCCAAAAGGCAGTAGAAAGAGATGCTATAAAATAGCAATAGTCCAGAATACAAAGATCAATAGTCCAAAATGGTCATGTCCATGAAAATCTAAGACACCCTTATACAGGAAATCCAAGAGCAAGGTATATGAAAACCAATATAATAAGGTACATGAAAATCCAAGGAGGTTAAGCATAGTCAATAATCCATAGCATTAAAACAAGAATTTAAGCAAGCAAGGCAAAAATCCATATAGAAACATAGACAAACTTGAGAGCTGGTCATGAGCGTGAAGTTAAAGCGATGGAAGCAGCAGCTAAATTAAGCTCAATCCTGACCCAACAAACACGAGACCCATTTTTTTCTGCACCTGTGTTTCAAGGACTGTAAGGACTGTTTCTCACACATTCTTTCTGACCTTCTTCTTAACATTTCTTTGGCCCTCTCCGCCTGAAGAGCTAATCTTTTATCATGAAATAACTCCCTTCTTGGGAAGGCCAAAGAAACTGATTTCAAGAGAAACATCATCTGTTTCTTCTGCAGCTGTTGGCCCCGGCCTGACTGGTCTATGGCTTGTATTTCTCTCTGTGGTTCAGCCTGAGGAACAGACACAGTGAGAGTGAAAATCTCAGTGAAAAGATTGTGCTCTGAATCAGAACCCCCAGAATCCCCAACATTTCCAGCATCTTACTGCTGAGCCTCAACAGTTATATGTTAATGAACTAATACATGAAATAATTTTGCTTAACACATGTTAAGAACTGGTGTAACCCCTTAAAAGTACTATCTTCTTTTAGTTGAGACTGATTTAATGATTAGACTTGAAACAGATTCTGAGGATTATATCTTCTTCTTTTTTGTTTTGGGTGGTCAGAAACTTTGCTTACCTGCCCTTTGTTTACTTTTCATTATATTTAATTAAATATGTTTTCTGTCTACCCCATCTTGATCCTGTTGAATTCAACCAATCAAATGTTTTGTTTGCTGTGTTCTGTAACTTCTTTGTAGTAGCTTAATTGTAACGTTTGCATTTATCCAATTTTCTTATTCGCAAACCAAATTAAATTTATGTCTTGCAATCCATTCTGTAAAGCTACTAATCTAATAAATCTGTATGATAGAAAGAATAGCTGTTGTATTTGCTTTCTATTTTTAGGACCTAAATGCTGTCGCCTTCAGGTTTAAAGATAAGGAAAGACCCCGAGGTTATACATCAAAACTTGCAGGGATGCTGCATGTAAGTGATACGTTTTTATTTTGAGCTGTCTATGAGATTTCGTATATGATATCAGATTGCATTTAATAGTAGATTATTTGTTAATGCTTACAAAAGCATTACAATGCATGTATGCTTACAACGCATTACACTTGGTCTCTGTATCTATAGATTCTGTAATCACTGATTCAACCAGCCCCAAAAACAAACCTTGATTTTATAGTTTTATAAAAGGGACATAATTGTATTATGCCACTCCACTATATATAATAGAACTTGAGGATCCATGGAGTTTGGTATCCATTGTGTGAGTATGGGTGTGTTCTGGAACCAAACTCCAGCAAATAAGAAGGATCCACTGTATTTTAATTATTGAGCTTTCCTGTATCAAACTTAACAGGAACTGGAGACCAAAAACATTTTCGTACTCAGCCTTAGTTTTATTAAATTATATATTTTAATGTTTTCATGTTTGGAAATTAGTATCTGAACATCTAGAGCCGGGGTGGCCCTCAAGATGAGAATGAATGTGTAATACATTTAGAACTTGTAATCATCCAGATGTAATACACCACTACTTCAAGTATCTCTTAGTGTTGACCTATTGGCTGATGCTGATGAAAACCCGTGTTTTACAATGTATGGAGAACCCTAGATTTCTAGTTCTGCTCTAGAGATAGTTTATTAATTATTATTAAAGTCTCATGTAGACATAACAGAACATAATAAAATAGAATAACTTTATTGTCATTATTCTATAGCACATCGAAATTAAATGCCTTCCCCAGCACACACCCATCCCTCCACACGCCAACAACCACCACACAGCCCCCAATGTCACATCAATGCAAAACCATGGAGTTCAACATAGCCACAGCTCTAGGATAAGAGCTTATCTCAGTCTGTTGGTTCTTGTCAAGAAGGTGCGCCCTTCTCTTGATCCCACCTCCATCTCAAGCTCGGTTGGTGGGAACAAGAGAAAAGGCCTTCTCGATGGCTGCCCCACAACTCTGGAACTCCCTGCCCAGGGAAGCTAGAGTGCCTCCCACCCTGCTGTCCTTCCGGTGGAAGGCTACAACCTTTTTATTCAGGCAGGCTTTTAAGATGAAGGTGTTTAAGATCATCAAGGGCTACTGTGATTTTGTGATGTGATTTTATATGCTTTTATGGTTTTAACCTGGATTGTTTTAATACTAATGTTGTTTAGTAATGTTTTAATATTTGTATATTCTAAGCTGTATTGAAATGTTTTTAGTTGTGAGCTGCTTTGAGTCTGGATATAGAGAGATAAAGTGGAATATAAATGAAAATAATAATAATAATAATAATAATAATAATAATAATAATAATAATAATAATAATATTCCTGTACTGTCTGCAAGATGGTAATAATTAGAAAAAGAATGTGGCAGGTGGGATAGATCCCCAAGAATGCCCTGAGCTTTCTCAAGGCTGCGGGACCTGTAAAGTTCTTCCAATGAGGGTAGAACCAATGATTCTCTGTGCAGAAGTGGTGACTCTTTGGAGTGCCTTCCTGTCTGCCACTGTGGAGTTACCAAGCCACACACAAGTGTAGTTGGTTAGGATAATCTCTATAGCACAGCGGTAGAAAGTCACCAGCAGTTTTTCATTCAGCTGTTGGTTCCTTAGAAGTCTCAAGTAGTACATTCTCTGCTGGGCCCTCTTAACCAACGCTGCTGTACGAGTGCCCCAGGTCAGATCCCCCTTAACAGTGACACCCAGAAACTTAAAACTGGCCACCCGCTCCACTTGGTTTCCATTTGTGACCAAGGGCTGGATTTCTGTTCTGTTCTTTCTTTAATCCACTTTAAGATCCTTGGTCTTATTGATGTTAAGAACCAGATTATTGTCTCTGCACCACAAAGACAGCCGTTCCACTTTGCAAATTGGCTTTGGCATTCCCATCTGCCCCCTTCCTTTTTCCAGACTGAATTATTAAATGCTTGTTTATTTTGTATCTTTAGAGAAAGTGGATAATTTATCTAAGAATCCTGTAACAATGACTGAAACTAGGTTTATTGAGTTGCTCCTCTGTTATGTTTACTGAATGATTGCTTTTTCACTACAAAAATATCCTCCAGGGGTCAGCATTTACTGCTTTTTATCTTCTACTCTTATTTTAGCATACTTTAAGTGATGGTCTTTGTTCTGAACCATTTATAGCATACCAAAATGACAACAATTGCCTTCCACACAATCTTAGTGACTGTATTATTATCTGTCTTAGTATTCTGCAGAAAACCTGTGATTTTTAAAAATGTCTTTAGACTAAAAGGATGACATTTCATTTATTTTAGTATTATCCCATTGAAGAAGTTCTTGCAGCTGAATATTTACTTGAAGAATTTAGGCCTGATCTAATAGAAATGGTATTGGATAAACTGAGACCTGAAAATGTCCGGTAAGCCTCATTCCCATATCCATGTGTAAAGTACAGCAATAGAAATGTAAGCTTGTGCTGCTTAATACTGTGTTAGTCAATCAAAACTGCTTCAAATAAAAACCACAAAGACTACCGAATACAGAGCTGTTTGAAAAAACTAAATACGCTTTTTTTTCCAAACAAAAATACCTTTGTCTGTGAGGAAACAAGAGCAGAGAATATTTTAAGTTAATATTTGCTTTTTTCAACTTCCTTTGGGTGGGAAGTTAAATGTAGGCCATAGGCCTTTTTGTGCCTTGTCTATCCCTCTTCCTGGATCTCTCCCTCTTCCTGGATCTTTCAGTTGCCCATTGTTATAAAATATTTATTTTCTGCCCAAGTTGATTTTTCTTCCACTTTTATCATGGTTGCCATTCTCTGGAAAAAAATGTAACAAAGAAAGGTAATTGCCGCATTATTCCTGGTTTTGATTTTCCCTTTATTTTTAAAGCATTTTTTTGTTTTGCCATTTTGGGCCTGGAGTGGATGTGGTAGATGCTGAAGTGAAACTGATTTCTCCCATTGTCACAGTTGTCCATCTCTCAGTTGGTTATTGAACTGAGTTGTCATTTGTTTGAGTTTTTCATCCAGTTTTCATTGATTTTATCAAAGTTTTACATCCTGTCACTGTCTCTTTTGGATGGTTAACCTCTGACTGTAGACAAGGATAATTGCTTTAATTTGGGTTCTTGATCTTGATTTCATGAGTACAATTTGCTGCTTTGGGAATCTGAAAGAGCTGAGATTAGGTACTAAATAAAAAACTGTAGGAAAGGCTTAAAAAGGAAAGCTGGAAGTATACCTTTTTGGCAGTTGATCCCAGATTATAGATTGGATTATTTCAATAGAACCCAAAATTAGTTTTGAGGGAAACATGGATATGTTAAATGCTCATATTGAAAGAAGGGAGAGTTATTATAGAGGCTATATTTGCCCCAATATAAATGTGGTATCCATTTATACCACATTTATATTGAGGCAAATATGATTTGTCTCTATGACTCACACAGTAGGCTTACTCTGCAGCTGTATAGACTTTCTCAGGGCTCTTCCACACTGCCCTTTATCCCAGGATCTGATCCCAGATTATCTGCATTAAACTGGAATTGCCAAATAACCTGGGATAAACAGATAATCTTGGATCAGAACCTGGGATTTAGGGGCAGCATGTAAGGGCCTCAGAAACACATGGAATTCATGTTTTGGAGGTAACCCCATCTCCCTCTCTCTCACACACACAGCTGTATGCTGATCCTTCCTACTCTTTACCTCGCTTTTCTTCCATCCACTGCAGTGGCTGCATAGAAAAGAGTCTATTTGAGCAAGCGTCTGTCTCATTGTTTATTAGTGTGGTTATTTTTAGAAGGAGATTGAAGCATTGTCGTAACATTTCTCTTGCTCAACATGTTCAAGATCAGAAACAAGATACACTAACAATAGGTGGAGGAGCTGGATTTATTCTTCACATCTTAGACTCCTTATTCAACACTCAATACCACATTGGAATTCCAGATTGTGTATCAATTGTACTCCTGAAATTATGATGGTGCTTTATGCTATCAATTTGGATCACTTCCTAGATTTCGAGATCAACCTGTGCTGATGGGCTCAAAGGTTGAGTGCCATTGGTTTTGATCATAAGATCTCCTCCCCCACTATTAAGGATTAAGGGTGCCACAAACTCCAGGCCAATACAAATTCAGTATAATGTATCATCTAACTTGCCTATGGTTCCAACTGTCCCCACAGTTTAGATACATAATACCAGCTCCAGTTCCATTGCTATATTCTATACTTGCATATTAAGGTGCACCCTTACCCCAGTCTGCACCACCATCAAATTCGATATCCATTCCATCTGATTAGTGGTGCCACTTTTGCTTCCACTTGACATCTTGTTAAGCCAAACAACTTCACAGGCTTTCAATAATGTTGATGAATCAGTTTTTGCTTCTCCCTCTTACAATCCATTGATATCTTCACTAGATCATGTAGTGAGTCATCAACTTTATCCTTCTGGTAAGTTATGTGCAACATGTAACAAGTGATGGACATGGCTAGTGCTTTTGAACTGAAGTTTCAGAACCAGTCATCAAATGGGTTGAGTCATAAAACATACATCCAGCTCCAGTATTACCTTCACTGTGGAAGTTTGCTCAACCACATGACAAATACCATCTTCTAGTCTATCATCATCTTTAAAAATGTAAAGCTTTTATAGAGTACAAGGGGGAAAAGTCTTATTCAGGTGCATGCAGCCCAGTTCAATTTTGATGAGGGCTACACAATCAAAATCCATCAGACTTTCACATTCCACCCCATCATACAAAGGACTTCATCACGTGCTATAAAATCAGTGTTTCTACACAGTTAAGAAACAGCTACCGACAAACCCCATCACACAACGCAAGCTCACACCATGGGTTTCAACTATTTTTGCCATTTCTAAAGTGTGGTTTTTTCTGACGATTCCTACGTCGATTGGCAATCAATTTCATTTTAAATTCCCTGCATAGAGATGAGTAAAAATGTCACATGTTATGGGAATTCCTCATTGTCCGCTTGTAAACATAACAATGATGTCATTCTGGAGGGAGGAGCCAAGATGGGCAGTATAGATTCCTTTCTTCTACTATTATCTTTATGGGACCAGGGGGGGTGGGAAGGAATGGTAATTCATATCTTTTTTAAATGTGATCTTACGTTAAAAAGTACTTCCCCAAGAAAAAAACAAAGAGTATTTTTTTCTATCAAAAGAAAATGGGGGGAGGAGACAGTGGAAGGAGAAATATGTCTCCTGTGTGATGAGAAGACAAACAGATAATTTGAAAAGAAAGCGGAATGAGAGAAAATGTGTGGTGGGGATCGGAAAATCATTTGTTTTCGTTCCAAATGGGGCATTGCGAAGCTTAAGTTTCCCCCCCACCCCCAGGAGTTCTCCCCCCCCCCCCCATGTACAAAGGTTTGTTTATTTTCCTATCTCTCTATGAGTTCTCCCTTACAATTAGTTCTGCCCCCTTATCTCATCCGGAGTTTTCTAATCATTTTATGTACAACCGCTTTGAGTCCCCCCTAGGAGTGAGAAAAGCGGTATATAAATACTGTAAATAAATACATGCGGCCTGCTCTCTGTCATTATGTTTGCTTCCTATGTTCTGTGTATATTGTTTTATATGTTTTGATGCTTTACATTTTAATGTTATGTTGTTTATTTTATTGCAATTTGTATTGTTATATTGTAGTTTGTTGTTCGGGCTTGGCCCCATGTAAGCCGCTCCAAGTCCCCATTGGGGAGATGGTGGCGGGGTATAAATAAAGATGATGATGATGATGATGATGATGATGATGATGATGATGATGATGATGATGATTATTATTATTATTATGGGAAAATGCAGCCATCTCCAACACTTTGCTTATCTACTGGAATTAAGTCTACAGAGTGGCGTAAAATTGATTCTGAGACATGGAAAGTCACGCTCCAAGCTGATCTATCACTCCTACATTAGTAGTTATTAAGTATGAATGAGACTTGATTTCCTCCATGTACTGTTGATTGTTCCCATTGTGCCACTAATTACAGGAGATCCCTGGTTTTCTACATTTCTAGAAGATTTTGGTTTTTGTAAAGCAGTTAATCACATACTCTGAAACTAAGAGAGGCAGACCATGCAAAGTTATAAACGGGGTTGACTTCTCTTACCAATTGACTCATCATCCTCTGCCAAAGGCATTGAAAAGTCATTCAGTGAGGACCATAGCAGCTTCTTAGGCATTTCTCAGAGGCATATGTCTGCAGGGCTGCTTCATAAGCATTACGCAAGACCTAGAGTTCATGTAGCATTTGAAAGAGCAGTGCTCACTTTGCTCTTGGCATGACAGCTCTACTGCGTGGTGACTCAGCTTTTTAATCGCATGGAAGTGTGAATCACAAATAATGAAGAAGTGGCTTCCTTGCTTGTAACTCTGGTTTTTCAAGCAATCATCTGTGAATTTGCATAACCCTCCATTTCTCCCCCTTCCCCCTTTGTGTCCTGCCTTATATTTCTTTGCAACAAATTTGGAGCTGCTTGGTATTTTTTAGTATAGAGATGGAAGGGGCAGCATACATTTGTGGAGGGAGGAAAAGAGCTACTCTAAAACAGACGCTGTGGGAGATTTTGAGGATTTTTGCAAGCACAGTGATCCATATGTCTGTGCTTGAAGATGACCACTTAAAGAACTACAGTTGAAGACAAACCACCTGTTCATATGCGTGAACTCACTGTTTATTGTGTTTAAAAAGCAGGGTTGAAATAGAGAAAATGATGCATCTTGGTTTTTATCTATAATTGTTCTTCCCACTCAGCCTGCTCCAAACTAGAAGTGGATGTGAGTGTGTATTTCACCATTTGTGACCCTCAATTACCTCATTATCACCAGTGTAGTAACTTACCCTCTTTGTGTCTTGTGATTTGTTGCAAGGGGGAAAACATTGTTGTCCACTAGCGACAGAAAAGCCATTTCTATTAGAAGCCATTTTTAGCTATCAAGGTTAATATAATACTCACGTAATGGCAAATTATAATTGTTCTAACTACACAAGGATAGATTTTCAGTGCTTCTGTGCACAATTGACTTTTTGTTTTGCTGAAGCCATGATTTTGTAGGGGTATACACAAGAAACACTTAGGTAAGCAGTGTTTCTCAGTGCCAATGACAGAACTGTTGCCATAGAAACTAATTTCAAAGGGAAATAAAGCTTTCCTCACGCTATTGTATTGTGTCTTGTATTCATACATAATTTGAATGAAAGCTATGTGGCGTGCTTCATTTATAACTCAGACTCTTCCATCTTGGGATATTATTTGCAGCCAGTCACAAGATTAAAATGAGTAATTATTGTCACTTATTAAGCTCTATTCATTGTTTTAAGGTTTTGTATGTGCTAAATGTTTAAATTGATAGGTGTTCCATCACTCCTGCTGTTCTGTATTCTTCAAAATAACTATCAGTTGGGTCTGAGATGCAGGAGAAACATTATTGCTAGTAAATGTTTTCTCTCACATGTAATTGGCTATAGAGATGGTAATTGCTCTCGCTATTTCATGTTTATTTTTTCTCCCTTTCAGCTGGAGAAATCAACAGGATTTCCTTGCCAAAAACATTCTCTTTAAAAATGCACCCAGTGGATAATTTGCATGACATTTCAAGCCATTGGGATCCTAGTTTGTCATGTACATAGAGTGTGCTTGCACATGCTACTTGCTTGTTTCTGCTTTCATTGTGGGAGGCTGCACAAACTACAGCATTTGTTCCATAGTTGGTTCATCCTGTCATCTTGTAGTAGGCAGTTTCCTGTCTTTGGTGTATTCCAGATCAGGAAAAGGTTCCAGAGTTTGTTCTTGGCTTCTTTCCCTGGTTCGCTGGAATGCAATAAGTCTAAAGGAAGAGAAACCACCCACTACCAGATGACATACTAAGCCAGCCATGGAGCAACACTGTATAGTTTTCTTTATGGTTCTTTTTACAACTGAGAATAACTGAGACACATGCCACACACTGCTGCTCATTCATGACAAACTAGGGTTGCTTGCTGTGTCAAGAAAAGACATCCAGTACCAAAAACCGAAATCTGATTTAAAAAATCATTTGAAAATTTAATGTTATAGTATTGCAGAAAGCATAATCAAAAGAGCATGTTCTGTTTCACATTCCAGCATGAGAATATTTCAGGGTTTGATCTCTTTCTTTCTCTTCTTCAGCTGTCTCTTCAGAAAGTCTGGAAAGCAGCTTCAGGAGAAGTTTGAATGTGTTACATAAGGTTACAGAGGGAAGAAAATGTTTAAAAATGTCAAAACTATTTTAAAAGAGTTGTTGAAACCCTTAAGTATTAAGTGCTCTTTTTCAGGGATCACTTTGCATTTGATTTTAATCCCTTAGGCTTTTTCTATTTTGCAGAGAACTCAATAACGTTTCTAGAGGAGTAGCCATGTTAGTCCTTTGCAGCAAAACCAGCAGAATCCCTAGGCAATAGACAAGGAAGTCTACCACAAACCTTTAATTAAACCCATTCATTTTTCTCTTTTACCTGTGTGCCGTACAGTGATTGTACATAGATACTCTTTGCTGCCAGAAACATGTAAATACAGGAGCCCTAACAAATCAAGCCTTTGCCTCTAGTGAAGAATGTGATGCAAAGTGCTTTCACTGTTTTATGTATATTGTTTCTCTCCTCTGACTCCAGCAAGCATTCAGAAGCCATACTAGGAAGATAGGAAGGATTATACAGGAGAATATTTTTTCCTGAATTTTATTTTAGGAATGAAATAAATAAACATATTGATATAGGACTTACACCAGCGCATAATTCTGAAAACCTAGCAGAAGGGCAAATTAAGCTGATAACTGTAGAGATACTTTGACCTCTAATACTTTGTAGATATATTGACTCGCTTAGTTTTGAAGTGTTAAACATCTAAGCTTCTGAAATCAATATAGATCCTGTGGTCAGTCTTGTTCAGTCATGTCATTCATGATTTTTTATGTTGAAACAGTTCCCACATTTATCTTGAAGCCTTGTGTTTGGAAGTGAATATGGCACAATTAATGGTCTCTAGATTGATGCATCTTAATCTCACATTAGAGATAATCCAAGAAGCAGACCTGCAAAAACTTTGGTTCTATGTTTTGTGCAGAATTTGATCTTAACAGTAGCCAGCTAGACATTGTTTAAATTGGGGAGACCTCACACTTAAAATTCATCAAGATTTCCCCAACGCTTTGCTCCTTCTTGCCTAGAGAAGGACCAGAAGAGTCGGGAATACTTGCTGGAAAATGATACAGGCCTTTTTCTTCAGTACTTTCCATCACTTACTGCCTTTTTTTCCTGCTCTGGACTAGCACATGCCAAGCTATCTGATGTTTCAGATTGGAATTTGCTTTCCTAGGGAATGGTACCATATTTCTGCCATATTACTGTATTTGCATGGTTTCCTTGAATTTCATCAAAAGTTAGCACTATTCCAAAGACCAGCCCATTCAGTAGAACTGCTCTGTAGGATGTATCTCCTTATAGTTTTTTTTTTAAAGGAGGATATTCACCTCATTCTCTCTGTAAGGATAGTTATAATGTTGTTTCTGTTAATCATTAGGTCCAAACTGTGTGTACACAGGAGATTGATAGTGTTGTAGGACTGTCTTTTTGAGGCTTACAGTGTTTTTTTCTATTGATAGTTAGTATTTATATTATTATTTGTTTTTAAAAACATACATTTAATTATCAAAGGTTCCCCCCGGTGGATCATTGGCCTTAATAGCAAAGAGTCCCTTAAACTCCAATTTCTTTCTTAATAGTGTTATGAGTTTCAGGCGTTTGTTCATAAATTGCTAACAAATGTTAAATGTACCAGAATCCTTTTAACACAATCCTTTAAACATGAATAAATGTTGGCTGACTTGACTTCTCATTGTGAAAAGGAGTGTGAAGATGTAGAAAAGAATTGATAAAAATAGCACTTTCAATAAAGTGTCCTTATTAACCTTGTCATTATTATCTCGATGCAAGATTGTTTATGGTTATTTTCAAGAAGAAAATCTTAATTGCTGACTGCCTTATAATTTTATTTTTTAGGGTTGCAATAGTCTCTAAGACTTTTGAAGGAAAAACTGATAAAACAGAACAATGGTATGGAACCCAGTACAAACAAGAAGCAATTTCTGATGAAGTCGTTAAGGTGTGCTAAGAAAATTGGTAGTGTTTAATTCTTGAATCCAATCCTGAATACAAATTGTTTTTTTCCATTGCTGCTAAGAAAGTATTTATTATTTGTTGTCGAAGGCTTTCATAGCCAGAATTATTGAGTTGCTGTGAATTCTGGACTGTATGGCCATGTTCCAGAAGCATTTTCTCCTGACGTTTCGCCCACATCTATGACAGGCATTCTCAGAGGTTGAGAGGTCTGTTGGAAACCAGGCAGGTGGGGTTTATATGTCTGGAATGTCCAGGGTGGGAGAAAGAACTCTTGTCTGCTTGAGTCAAGTGTGAATGTTGCAATTGGCTAAATGCTAATTGGCTAAATGGCTCAAGCAGACAAGAGTTCTTTCTCCCACCCTAGACATGCCACTGATAGATAAACCTCACTTACGTAGTTTCCAACACACCTCTCAACCTCTGAGGATGCCTGCCATAGACGTGGGCGAAACATTAGGAGAGAATGCTTCTAAAAAATGGGCATAGAATCATAGAATCAAAGAGTTGGAAGAGACCTCATGGGCCATCCAGTCCAACCCCCTGCCAAGAAGCAGGAATATTGCATTCAAATCACCCCTGACAGATGGCCATCCAGCCTCTGTTTAAAAGCTTCCAAAGAAGGAGCTTCCACCACACTCCGGGGCAGAGAGTTCCACTGCTGAATGGCTCTCACAGTCAGGAAGTTCGTCCTGATGTTCAGATGGAATCTCCTCTCTTGTAGTTTGAAGCCATTGTTCCGCGTCCTACATATAGCCCGGAAAACTCACAGCAAACCTATTTATTGTTTTGTTTATAATGTAACTATATCTCCTCTGAGCCCACAAGGGTCCTGAGAGTGATGAAAAATAGAAACTAATTAAACAATACAGGAGTAAAAACATGTTTAAAACATATTAAAATTCTCTTTAAAATGAATAACTCCTACAAGCAACGTAGAAACAATCTTAAAATCCAGTTTTGAAACAATTAAAAAAGTAGTTTCAAGCTCTGAGTGCTGTGCAGAACAGCACTGTTTTGTTGGTTTAAAAGAGATGGGCCAAGATAACTTCCTTGGGTAGGAAAGTTCATAATCAAAGTGCTGCCATATAGAAATCCCTGTTTTGTCTACCCAGCAACCTAACTTCATGAGGTGTTATTAATTTTTCATTCCTTTAAAATGCTAGATTATCTAATAATGTCCATTAATATAATTCCAGTTCCCTAAACTAGATGTTCAGTAAGGGGATCACAACAAATCGAAAGGAACCCTGAGTTCCTAAGCAAACACTTTACAATAGTAATTGCACCATTGTGTTTGAACATGAACTTCAATACTTGGTCATTTTTTAAAAACCATTATTTTTCTAGTGCTGTTCACATGAGGCATTTTCATGGGTAATCTCTGAGGGATAACCTGTTCAGAAAAGCAAAGGAAATAGGATTCAGTCCCCAAAATATGTGTGTGGACGAGGTCTCAAGTCTGGGAGGAAAATCAGTGTAAAATATTTAGCTACCTAAAGGACTGTGTGCATAACTATCTTTTTGCATGCAGAAGCCCACTTTGTGTGAGGTTAATTGAATTGAAGTATATAATACATAGCTCCAGATAAACTAGCTTTGAGGAAAATGCCATATGTGGCAAACATTTTCATTGTAGTTGACATATGTGCTATAATTTTCTGTAACATAATTAATATAAAATATGCAATTATATGCAAGTAATATATATGAAAAATATTACCTGTAATTTTTTATAATGAATTGGGGAGAAATATATTATTTGTAATTTTTTATAATGAATTTGGAAGAAGCATGTTCTGTTTTTCCCCCAGTAGCAAGTGTAGTAGAAATATTTATGGCAAGTAAAAATTGAATCACTGGTTTTTAGTATACTCACTTGAATAAGAGCAAAAACATCATTTTTATTTACACTTTACACCCAGAAATGGCAAAATGCTGACCTTAATGGAAAATTCAAGCTCCCAATGAAGAATGAATTCATTCCTACTAACTTTGAAATAATACCTTTAGAGAAGGATGCACCACAGTACCCTACTCTTATTAAGGTAAGATCTTTTTAAATATCAAGTAGAAATGGTTAAAAATATCAGTGTTTGGGAAATTATTTGAAAAGTAATATCTAATGGTTGTCCAGTCTTGGTTGTTAGTGGCAATTATAGTTGAGGTATATAATCGTGATGGATTATGTCCCCATTTCTCAAAGGTAACTTAAACAGATAAAGGTTGAGAGTATCCCTTATCCAAAACATTAGAGAGCATAAATGTTTTGGAATTTGGATTATTTCAGATTTGGAATGCCTGTGTTTGCATCTATATACATAATGAGATGTTGTGGAAATAGAACCCAGGTAAAATCTCAGTACAATCTGTTATGTTTCATATACACTTTATGCACATAGCCTGAAAATAATTTCACACACTATATTTTATTTAATTTTAGCATGAAACAACATTAGTATACAGGGTTAGTCAAAATGAATAGGCCAATAAGAAAATTAATTTTAGACGAATGTATGTTTACTGTAACCAAACCACAGCTACGTAGCGACAGATAAACTATCAAAGTTTTTTTTGAGCAACACACATGTACGTTAATGCCGCTAGGCGTCGCTAGGGGTCGCTGTTTTCAAAATGGCGGAATCAAGCAAAGAGAAGGCGTTTTGTGTGATGACATTTGCTAAAACAATGTCAGTAATTACGGTCCAGCGAGAATTTCAAGGGTTAGGGATAGGGTTAGGGTTAGGGATAGGGTTAGGGTTAGGGTTAGGGATAGGGAGAGGGTTAGGGTTAGGGTTAGGGATAGGGATAGGGATAGGGTTAGGGTTAGGGTTAGGGTTAGGGATAGGGTTAGGGTTAGGGTTAGGGTTAGGGTTAGGGATAGGGATAGGGATAGGGATAGGGTTAGGGTTAGGACCTCAACGAACACCTTCCCAGACGTTGCTGCATTTGATGCCATTACGTCGGATGTGCTGCAACGGATGTGGAATGAACTGGACTATCGCTTGGACATCTGCCGTGTCACACGGGGCGCCCATATCGAACATCTCTGAAGGTGAGACAAAACTTTGATAGTTTATCTGTCGCTACGTAGCTGTGGTTTGGTTACAGTAAACATACATTCGTCTAAAATTAATTTTCTTATTGGCCTATTCATTTTGACTAACCCTGTACATTACATTATCATAAAACGAAGGTGACACTGTCTCAGCAACCTATGTAGAGAATTATCACTATAAAACCTTAATAAGTACACCACAAAAACAGTGGAATTATCTCTCATGTTCTAATTTTTTACATAATTAATAAACTGTAACATTATGTAATAAAAACAGTCAGCAGTTATCTGTGACTTGTTAGCAGATTATTTCAAAAACGTAAAATTAAAGGTTGCCGCCCAAAAAATCCAAGCTAAATTAGTAAAGTCCTCAGTGGAGGCTAGAAATGGATTCGGAAATAGTTTGGGATGATAGAAATTAGACGTTGTTAGTGTTATCGTGTCACTGCTATTGTAATTTTAAACAGCCAATATATAGAATACATTTTAATGTTTATATTGGAAAGTGCTTATTGTACTTTTAAGGTTGCATTTATTTGATGTCATGGCTTATGGCTGGTACAATAAACAATTCATTCATATAACAAAATTAGAAAACTTTTCTGTTCCTGGTTTGAAAATGTTATTTCCTGTTTAATTGTGTGATACTTACTTGAAAGTAGTTGTTATACTCCAGAAACTTCATTTTTGTGTCTGCAACAAACTATGTTGAATTGGTTGAGACTCTATGATATATTTATTTAAAAACTATAACAAAATGTGCTGCAGGATGTCCCGCCAAAACAAAGTTTTTGCAGTTTAATACACTTTTTCCACGTTTTTATGATAGAACCAATTAAGAAATTACATTTATAACCCAGGAACAAACATTGTGTTACATACTGTAATATATTGCTTCCAAATCATGAAATTTGTGGGCATTCCTCTTCCAATTTACTGTGCAAAATCAAGCCTTTTGCAATACAACTTGAGCAATATTAAGATTAGATGGTAAATATGATTGTAATCGATTTAACTCTAATGTTAAAGGTAATTTTATCCTACATATCACAGTTTGACTAGTTTTCTGTATTCAGATATCTAAAGCTTTCATTTTAAGTAGCAATAGAGGCAATGCTCTTAAGTGCAGAGGTTAAATACGAAGTCCGATTGATAGAATACTTCACCCCAAAATGAAGCAAGATCCCAAAAAGACCCCAAAATGAAGCAAATTTGGAAATGGATTTGTATTGGAGCCCATCATCACTTTCCCTGTTGCCAACTAGTCTTCCGTTCTTAAGCTTAGATGGTAGGGGATGCATGATTTTAATGAAATAGTACCACGGAGGCCAGAGGCCTACTTCCCGCCGCCTCATACATGAATAGGAGCTCCAAACATCCCTCTTATATTTACATCTGCTCCTACATTTGAGGCATCTACATTTGAGTTGTAAGAGAAGGAAAAGGGCCTCTGTTGAGCTTTTGGGTGTTCTTGCTGTGTAGATGCTGTAACTATCATTCAGAATAATATAAAAATTTGATTTAAAATACAGTTTTACAATGTTGAAATGTGTGTTATTTTTAAATACAGGACACTGCTATGAGCAAACTGTGGTTCAAACAAGATGATAAATTTTTCTTACCCAAAGCTTGTCTCAACTTTGAATTTTTCAGGTATGCAAACATTATATTTACAATTTATCATACTAAGCAGAGTATATATTTGTAAAAACATTATTGTCAGCTCTTCCAGGTTTTGCCTCAGCATTATGATGAACGGTGGGCTGTTTTTTGTGGTCGGTTTCTCCCGTTGGAAGACACAATTGAAGAACTGCTTTTGTATGGAGGGCAGTTCTTCCATTCCAAATCAGATAATCTGTGATACAGCCAAGGTAGATTTTTTCAGCTCATGGATCATGGAATAAGCAGCTGAATATAAATAAGCTTAAACATACTTCTGTACATAAATAACTATACCTGGATCCAAGCAATTGTCTTTGGTTTTTTCATGCATGTTGGAATTTTTACAGTTGCCCTCTTTTTGGTTATTTTGGGTTTTTTTAAAAAAAAAATACAGTTTGTTTAGCGGACCTCAACTTTGGGATTAAAAGAGTGTCTTCTTTTATTCAGGTGTGATTAAATGATCTACCTGAGTCTGCAAATATACACATTTGGTATTCTTAATTTCTTCTTTAGGTGGTTATGCAATTTTATGTGATGCTGCCTTTTAAAAAAGATACTGAATATGTAAAATGCGGCTCCTTTGCCAGAAACTGAAAATGACCTCTTGGAGTTGGTTTGTTGCTCCTTGTTTTATAGAGAATAGCTTTTTAGACGGGATATATTGTAATATTCACATTTTCTTTCTGAATGAATGCATTTGTGTTAGTGTGTTGGTATATCACAAAAAAGTCTAAATGCAACCCCCAATTTTTATTAACACTGATACAAAAACAAGAGAACAAGGTATGAGTAACTCAAGCAGTATTTCTGTTGTAATTGTAATTGTGCGTTGCTCAAACATCTGTCATTGCCTGCTTTGCAACATTTTATATGGGAAAGTTGGAGTCGGTGAGGCATGGTCCCAGTCGCCCTCTCCACTCAATTCCAGTTGCATGAAAAAGGCAGACTGAAAAAGGCTTTAATCTGCTCTTCGTGCAGTGTTCACTGAAGCTTAGCAACTGCCTACACTTTTCTTTAAAAAAAATATTTAGCACACGGAGAATTATTCGTATTTTTAGAAAGTCCCAAATCGTGTGAGGCAATTTGGGAAGAAAAAATGCCCCATGAAGAAAAAATGGGACTGTTCCATAACGGTCCGTTGTGTATTTTCATATTACATTGCCTTCTTCCTCAGGCTCTGCTAGAGTAGGTAATTCTGTGGCATCTCTGAATTTGATACATTAGAATCATTCATCCACTCCCAATGTTGACATTCTCTTTAAATAATTATATATTTCATGTCAATCTCATTGTTGTGTCCAATGAACAGAATGTTCAGTTCAGAACTGTGATTGGCTAAAATGGGCTAGTCAAATAGAGAGGCAATGAGGACATATGAGAAAAGTCAGAACAAATAAGAAGACAAAGGGTCCTTCCATACAACCATATAACCCAGAATATCAGGCAGATAATCCACAATGTGTGCTTTGAACTGGGTTATCTGAGTCGACACTGCCATAAACCTAATTCAAAGCAGATAATGTGGGATTTTATCCAGCTGTGTGGAAGGGGACAACGTTTCATATCCTCCTTTGTTTGTTTTTAAAAGCCCACTGCATTCCAGCCACTATTAGAGTTGGCCTTCCTCAGGGGCTACACTAAAATATAATTCAATTCAGTACATTAACAAGAACAATACAAAATTAATTTAAAGGTAAAGATATCCCCTGATGTTAAGTCTAGTTGTGTTCGACTCTGCGGGGTGGTGCTCATCTCTATTTCTAAGCCAAAGAGCCAGCATTGTCCATAGACTTCTCCCAAGGTCATGTGGCCACCATGACTGCATGGAGTGCTCTTACCTTCCCACCAAAGTGGTACCTATTTATCTACTCACATTTGCATGTTTTCGAACTGCCAAGTTGGCAGAAGCTGGGGCTAGCAGCGGAAGCCAACCCCGCTCCTGTGATTACATTATTTAAAAACGTAAGGATTCTATTATTCTACATAATATTGCATATTCAACCCTTTACACAATTTTTGAAGCTATATAATAATCTCCAAAGCAATGGACCATTAAGCAAAGAGAACTAGAGACTAGAGAATTCTCTTTCTTAACGGTCCATTTAATGATATTAAATGGAATTCTATTTGTATTTTTAATGAAGCCCCTGAGGAGGACAAAATACATTAGATCTTTAAAAACAAATAAAGCAAGTGACCATCTATCAACCTGTGGAGCTTTGTCTTTTGGTTTGCTTTAGCGCTGGCTATTCCTTCTGTCCGATTTAAAGGGGAATCACTTTTTTTCAGGCTGAGTTTCATTGCACTCCCAATTGGATCTGACCAGCAGCTCCTCTTTTTAATCACCATCCCCTCTCAAGACATTTTTCTTCTTTGCCCAATCACCATCCTTTGCTGTAGACACTTTCTTACAGTGAACAACAAGCAGAGAACCTTTCTATAACTCTTCTGCCTTCAGTGGTCCTTTAAGTGCAGGATCAGAAATGTCTCAGTGACATGCTCTGAGATCTATAGTTTTTCAAGATAGCTTAGTATTCTGAAGGGGTATCAGATTCCTTGGAAACTATATGCTAGAGCATCTTGTTGAGCAGCATATTCTCGGTAGTCTCAATCACATTCTGAAACACAACATTTCTCATGGAAATAGTACTCATGTCACGATGAAAGAACTGATAAAAATTGTCTTTCAAGGGAGGAAACACTAACTTTAGCATTATTACTATATGTTACAGCCAGAGTTCAACTTCAGATAGTTGTCTGTGACTTTTTAGCAGATTATTCCAAAAAACATAACATTAAAGGTTGCCACATTTGCAGTCACAGCCCAAAAAATTCGAGCTAAATTAGTAAAGTCCTCAGCGGAGGCTAGAAATGGACATGGAGATAGTTTGTACTAGTACATATTCTATAATGAATTAAACATAAAATTTAAAAAGTTGGTGTTCCCAAACTAATTCTTTCTGTCAAAATCCATCTAAGAAAGGAGATAACTATTTGGTAAGCAAGTTTGATTTTCTTAGACTTACTTGTTTTTAAAGCAACATGTTCTAGAGATAAAATCGTTAAATGCCTTCATTTTATTGTTATAGAAAGGAAACTACACCCCATTGACTTTCTGACAAGACTGTGTAAATCTTGTCGCTCTCACTGTAGACAAAGCAGTTGTAAGAAAGATAGATATTATTATTATAGGAAAGGCAAACAGTGGAACAGGTGTAAGATTGTGAAAGAAGAAAAAATTGTGGTAGAATGAGGAATGTGATCCTGTGAGTCTAGCAGGAAAACGTGTTTTTCAGTGCTGATATCTGGCCATCTCACTTATCTCTGGTAGAACACATAGTTCTTAACATAAAAATATTGCTTCCCTTGCCCAAAAGAAAGACCTTTGAATTGCAGCTATGGCTGATTTATGTATAGGATATTTTAGAGCAGAGGTGGAAAATTCATAGCTTTCCAAAATTCACGGACTTCAATTCTCTTTTTTAATTCCTACAATTGGCTATGACAGTTGTCACTGATGCGAGTTGTTGCTCAACATCTGGAAGAGCATCTGTTCCCTGTGGTTTTGCTAGGCAAACAATAGAATAGTAGTACATTTAACAGGGAGACAGGAAAGGATTTACATAGAGTACATGTGGGCATTTGGATCCAGCAATCAACACATGGTTGCATAGCCTCAAGAGGCAATTGCATATTCAGTTTGTCAAACTGCTGCCAGTTCCCTTCCATGCTGTGGGATACAGCTGCTGAATGTGCAATAGTACTGTAGCTTCACTTCTATAGTTTGCCCTTTCAGCATATTCTGTTTTGTAGTGGCCTGGATGGCATAACCTGTATGTAAGAGACAGCTGGGACAGTAGCTACCTTGGCAAATGCTTTCTATATAAAATCTTACTGTTCACTTATGTCATAACAACACTAGGAGTGTATTTGTACACCAAGTGAATGTATCATAATATAATATATTGCAAATATAACATAACATTGCCATGGCATACACAAGATATGTTGTTTTATTGGCAGGTAATAGGGATAATGGATGGATCACAACCTGTTAGGATTGCAACCCATCAGGGATAGCAGAGTTTGAGAGGAGTATTCCTTGAGTTTATTTGATGCTTTAGGCAGGCAAAAATTCAAGTAGACTTCTTTTAGAATAATAATGTTTGTTTGCTTATAACTTACAGACTTTAATGATACAGACACATTTCTTTTGAGGGTTAAAAACTTCAAAAACGTTTGGAGAGTTTGTATTTTTAAACTTATAAACTTTAGTTGTTTCTTCATAAATTATGCAGCCCCACACAGCTCTCCTCATTTAGAGTTCACTTTAAAAGAAAATACAAGCCACAACCATTGGCTTCTAACATTGGCTTCTGCATACTAAGAAACTTCTAGCTCCAACTGACATTCTCTAGTAAGGGGCAAAGCTCAACACTCAAGTGACTTCACTGTCATTCCTTTAAAAAACTGAAAATTCTAAACCAGGGGTCCCCGAACTAAGCCTAAGATATGGCCCTCCAAGGTCATTTACCTGGCCCTCGCTCATGGCCAACTTTATTTATATATTTATTTATTTATTCGAGCACCTCTACCGCGCCCTTCTCAACCCCCTAGGGGGGACTCAGGGCGGCTTACAACCGGCACAATTCGATGTCAACAATTCAACATAGTAAAATATATAACAGCAACAATTATAAATAGTTAAAAACATTCAGTTAATACAATAACAACTAATAAAAGAAAAGCCAATCTGGTGGCCAACGTTTGCCAAGTTCTGTAATCCGTAAGTCCATTCAGCATTATCATTATCCTTTCCAAAGCTCTAGTCGTCATTGTCCTTGTCAGTCTGCCAGATTACCCCAAGGCCTGGTCCCATATCCATGTTTTTAACTTCCTTCTGAAAGAGAGGAGGGATGACGATGATCTAATTTCCCCGGGGAGTGAATTCCACAGGCGGGGGGCCATCACCGAGAAGGCCCTGTCCCTCAGCCCCACCAGCCTCATTTGTGATAGAGGTGGGGCCGAGAGCAGGGCCTCCTCAGAAGATCTTAAATTCCTAGGTGGGACATGGAAGGAGATAAGTTCAGATAGGTACGCTGGGCTGGAGCCGTATAGGGTTTTATAGGTCAAGACCAGCACTTTGAATTGTGCTTGGAACTGGATCAGCAGCCAGTGGAGCTGACATAACGGAGTCTGAAACAACTTGAAAGCACACAACAATAATAACAATCTTATCTCATCAGCCAAAAGCAGACCCACACTTCCCACTGAAATACTAATAAGTTTATATTTGTAAAAATTGTTATTCATTTTAATTATTGTATTGTTTTTAAGTGTTTTTTGCACTACAAATAAGATATGTGCAGTGTACATAGGGATTCATTCATGTTTTTTTCAAATTATAATCCGGCCCTCCAACAGTTTGAGGGACTGTGACCTGGCCCTCTGTTTAAAACTTTTGAGGACCCCTGTTCTAAACAGTCACATGATTGCAGCCTCTCCCACTGCTTCAGTACAAAGAGACAAGGTAACTGCAAACTACAAACAGGACACACACTTCAGGTTACAAAATGACATACTAATAAAATAGACAAGCATCACATAGAGGAGGCTTCAGATGTTGTATTCTCCAACACCAGGTAATTGACTGGGTTACTGTTGACATCTCTTCCTGGTCTATCAAGTCATTTTGCACATGTTTAACCTCCTCCCTAGATATGATTATTTCTTTCAGAAAAAAAAAATCTATATAGTCTTTTTTTCTTTATCAGTCAAATTAATACAAAACTTTAATGAGACATTAAATGGGAAGAAATAAGATTTTGATTTAAACTGGAAGAACATGAAATTAGAAGTCAAAATAGGTTAAGCCAGTAGGTGAGATATCAAAAAGCAATAGCTGAGGAGGAAAGTCTTGGCAGGTAGATATACTAGCCATTCCATTTTAATTAGTTACGGTAGTTTGTATTATTCTGTTTTGAATTTATCACAGCCCACACAAATTTCAGTGTATTTCATGCGTTTTCATTCACAAAAAAGTCCCAAAGTTTTTAGTACATGCATCAAGAAGTACTGTCTTAGATAACATGTTCAAGTAGACCTGTCTCTAGAAAAAGTTTTTGCAGGACGTGTCAACAAATAAGCAGTTATGTCATTGATGTTTTAGGCACAGGATAACACAAAGGTAAAAACCAAATGAAACAATACTTCAGCATTGTCATATAAGTAATAAAGATATATTGAGGCTACAAGAGGCCATACATTTTCTTAGGAGTGAGTTTTTTGAACACTGTGCCTTAAATCTGATTAAAATTCATAGGATGGCTTTGCAGATCAAAAACGTTGGTGTGACAGCCTGTTTAACCTATTTTTCCTTTAAAAACCAGAATTAGACATTGATTCAGGTGCAATATTTGTGTATGAACAGCTCAATTTTATTACAGGTTTGTATTTTCTAACTGCTGCATATCTATATATTTATACGTAGTAGATTTTGGGCCATGCTATACCCATTTTGTTTCTACTCTTAACTCTGGGTAGTCATTCTTAATATGCTGGTATTAAGCAGTATTGTTGAAACATGACTTGAGTCTTTGAGTTGTCTTTAACTTTATAAGTCTGTGCAGGCTCTTGTACGTCCTGGGGATCTACAGAATTCTGTCAGGCTCTCTTGTGTGTTACAGCCATACATGAAACCTGGTTTGATATTTGTGTGCTTAATTTAGAAATAACAACTTGGTAGTAAAAATAAACTCACAGCTGTAGTATTTCTCTTGTTCTGTGAAACTAGCAGATGTGTTCCGTGAGATTTCATCCTGATACAGATTAACTTCAGTATCATACTGTCTTGTATGGACTGCTTTATGGGTTTTCAATTGTTATAGTTTTTAATTTCCTTACAGAATTATTCTCATTCTAATTTCTTCATACCAAACTCAAAATGCAGTGTGTGAGTTAACAATCTGTACTGTTAATAATGTTAGTCAAATCATTAAATAGGTATGTTTTCGCTCTCTGTAGTTATCTTTTCCCCATTTACTTGTGTGTTTGTGTTTGTCTCAATATCCACCTGTTCTTACTTGTATCCTTGAGGCCCAGTATGGGGGATCTACAGAATTGGGAAGTAATTGTATTAGATATTTTACTTTCAACATTTTCTTCCAGCCCATTTGCTTACGTGGATCCCTTACATTGTAACATGGCCTATTTGTACCTTGAGCTACTCAAAGACTCCCTCAACGAGTATGCATATGCAGCAGAACTAGCTGGCTTGAACTATGATCTCCAAAATACCATCTATGGGATGTATGTAAGTACCCAAATCAAGGAGACTCCTTAAAAGCCTTAAATTTACTTCCATGAATCAAAAAGCTACAGCAAAAATTGATCTGCTGAAGCATATTTAAAATCTTCTTCCCAACCGAAAATCTAATTTTTGTTCCTTTTTCAACCTTGGTTTCTGATTATACTTTCTCATAATTTGAGTTTTCACTGAAATCTTTTCCTAAGTCTTCAACACTTCCATTCACATTCAGGACCTTTGGCTTCATTTTGCATCATTTGTCAGATTAGCTTCGTCTCACTTAAAATTACCCTCTGAACTGGAGCTAAGACTCTATTCCATTCTTCCAGTTTTATGAAAGGGCGTCCAATGAAGAAAATTCTTTACTATGATTTCATTTCTTCATTCCCAAGAATATTGGTTATGAGGCTGCATATACATACTCTTCAGTCATGTTTCTTCACCCATTACCATGTCGCTGCTTGAAGTATCAAAGCATCCTTTTTTTTTCTTTTTGTTAGTCGCTACCTTTATGCTGACCCTCTCCATTGCAACATGACATACCTGTTAATCAGGTTATTGAAGGATGATTTAAAAGAGTATACATATGCAGCACGCCTCTCAGGTTTGGTCTATGCCATTGCATCAGGAATGAATGCAATACTTGTAAGTAAGCTGGGGGAAAACCAGGAAGGAATGAGATGGCTTGAGCGTTAAATGCCGTTTGGAAAAATGTAGGCTGCTTCATTCTTCAAAATGGCTACTCGTTCTGTGTTTCCTTGCATTTTTGTTATAACAGAAAAGCCCTTGTGTAACATCGTAACAATTTATTGAATGGTTTGGTTGTGGTTGGCTTGTGTTTTTTTGTGAGTTTTTTGTAGTGTACTTTATACAGGATTATTAACCTGCATGGTTAGTTATTTGCATAGGGGCTTTGAAAGAATAACAGTTTTAAAATAATAATGGAACTTTCTAACCTTTCAGTCTTTTGAATTGTGAGGTGTACCAAAGAAAACTGTGCATCCACCTGAATGTTCTATGGCACTAAAGATTAATATACATCTATAGCAGTGGTGCTCAACCTGTGGGTCCCTAGGTATTTTGGCCCACAACTCCCAGAAATCCCAACAAGTTTACCAGCTGTTAGGATTTCTGGGAGTTGAAGGCCAAAGCATTTGAGGACCCATAGGTTGAGAAGCACTGATCTGTAGGAACATAAGTATTTGTAGAAACTGCCCTCCTCAACATAGGCTTTACTAAATATTACTAAATGTTTAACTGACTCTGAGAAAAATGGCACGTTAGGGTCAAATAAAATTGACAATACAAAAAGCCTTCGACAATACAAATAAAATTGAGTTCGTTTTTTTCTGCATTAGAAAAAACCGGTCTTATACATGGCTACTTCTTAGAGTTTATTCATCAATGTTACAATATTATAGATCTACTTAAGGCCATAAAGAGGATGCATTGTTGTCTCGTTGAACATTGTTGGATGGTGTCATCTTGAATGATGTAGAGTTTTCCATAGTAAAATTGATTGAAAATACAAACACTGGGGGTTTTATGTTTAAACGGCTATTAGCTTTTTGTTTGTTACTATCTAAATTTATGTTCTGCCATTCATAAAATCAGAATCACAGAATCATAGAGTTGAAAGAGACCTTGTGGGCCATCCAGTCCAACCTCCTGCCAAGAAACAGGAAAATCGCATTCAAAACACACCCGACAGATGGCCATCGAGCCTCTGTTAAAAGTCTCCAAAGGAGCCTCCACCACACTCCGAGGCAGAGAGTGCCACTGTTGAACAGCTCTCATAGTTCAGAAGTTCTTCCTAATGTTCATGTGGAATCTCCTTTCTATTGTTCCACATCGTAGTCTCCAGGGCAGCAGAAAGCAAGCTTGCTCCATCTTGGAACTCAAGTTGGTGAAGTTAGTGTTCTCAGAGAGCCTCCCATTGAATTGCTGACCCAGATATACTTAGCTTCAGCAATATTGCTAAATCAACTGTCTTCAGACTACAGCCTGGGATCTAATCAGCATAATTTCCAGCCAATTCTAATTTCTTCGATCATCTACCATGGGCATTCCCATTTTGTATCAACCAAAAAGTACTTCAGAATTTTGCCCTGTTCATTACCCAGATGCTGTGGTTCTGTTCCGTTGAGACGTTGTTTATAGAGTTTGGTGACTTTGTCGGAGGTTGATAATGCCTTCAACAATACTGTATAATTTCTGCATCACAGGATGGGATAAGCAGCATTTTCTCAAAGAAAAGCAAATGCACATGCAGGGTGAAAAAGACAGAAGGATGCGGTAAAGCAGGGTTCATGGAATATTAAAGTGGTATGCATTACGCAGAAGCAGTACTTCAGTGTGAGTGCATGTCTATATGAGATGGTTAATCCAGTAATGCAATAATTTGAGGAAGCTGTCATCTTGATGTCCCAACAGTTTTGTGATATCCTAACTTTCTTCATAAGAATATTATAAACCCTTTTGCTTTAGAAACTGTGGAATGGAAATCTTTCCTACTACATTTGCTCTAGATTTTGATATCCAAGGATACTCATATTTTTCATTTGGAATAATAATTACAATTCTTCTGGGAGGTTATTGCACTGTTTTTTCTTGTTTTCAACTCGGAAAATTCTAATGAGGAGTTCCCTTATTGCCTTGTGTGATAAACAACAGTGCTTTCTTTGCTTTGCAGTGTAGAACGTGATACTTGCTCTGCACTGTAATTTCACTTCCACAGTGGTTACCAATTTAGCCTCATGAGTAAGTAAAAATATTAGTGAAACTGCAGGAATTGAATGCAACTGCTGCAAAACATTAAGATTTCTGTTAAAGTGGAAGAAAACCTTTCCTGATGTTAGGAAATGGCTTTTTACTACACAAATGGAGATCTGTAATTTATTTGAAAGGATTGTTTCAAATATATAGAACAACTTCTTATTCTCTTCATTTAGCTGTCCGTGAAGGGTTACAATGACAAGCAGCATATCCTACTGAAGAAGATTATTGAGAAAATGGCCACTTTTGAGATTGATGAAAAAAGATTTGAAATTATCAAGGAGGCGGTAAGCCATGAAACACTTTGCTTTGAATCTAAACAGGAAGCATACAGTGCTATTCAAATTAGGGAAGACACTATGTATGAGTTTAAACTTACCAGTGAGACTTTTGTTGTCCTACTCTGTGACTGTTGGCTGTTGATTCTTGATCTCTTTACAAATCAAATGATTTGAAATAAATTGTCTCCATCAGATAAATAGATTTAACTTGTAAAACACCAGTTTCGGTTTATTTACTCATTGTTTACTCAATTTTGCCAATGGGATTTTTATGTTGAAGTTTTCTGTGAATGGAAAAAACCCTGTGAATCTTAACATTCAACATTATGTGAACATGAAATATCACCTCATGTTGGCAGCAGCTTTTTAAACTACAGCTCTGACCTTCTGAAATCATCTGTTCAGCCTTTGCAGATGTATTATTTCCCTAGCCATTCAGACATTTGGGAACAGAATGCAAGATCAGACTTCTGCTTCTCATTCACAATTCTGGTGTTTTATCAGTGCTAGCGTTAACCACAGCTCTTAGTTAGTTGTGCTAACTAATTTCAAACCCTGGTTTCAAATATCAAATACAAGGAGCCTGGCCACCTACTTTAATATCTTTTTGCTTTTATTTGTATATGTATTTTGAATTTAAAAGCAAAGAATGTGAAGGGAATCAGCACTTTGCACAACGTCAGTTTTTAACTATTTTGTATTTTTGTTTTAATATTGGTAGTATATGCGATCGCTTAACAACTTCCGAGCTGAACAGCCCCACCAGCATGCCATGTATTACCTTCGGCTATTAATGACAGAAGTTGCCTGGACCAAAGATGAATTAAAAGAAGCTTTAGATGGTAAGCTTTTACTGAATGTGAACATCTTTTCTTTCTAATTGTTGTCTCCAAGTACAGCTAGAAAACCTGCCCTTAAACCCTAGAGAACTGCTGATGGTTAATGTATTGAACCAGTGGACCAACTTATTATAGTCCAAGTTAAGAAGTTCCTAGAGCAATCCTTCATCTGTAAACTGAACATACAGGTTTATTTCTTCTCAACCATGAGTACAACTGGCTTAGTGTTCCCATTTCATGGAGGGCTTAAAACTTTTCAATACTTGCTGATGGTTGAAAAAGCTGCCAGAATTCTCTTCCCTGTACTAGAGTTTTAGCCTCCAGATTTAGATTCTGGGTAATCCTTAATGGTTATCAAAGCCGCTTTGGTTTCAAAGGAAAGATTAGAGTAACTAACCATTAAACATTTAAAATAAGCCATTGAATAAGTTTAGCCAATTCATCAACATAAGGTACCTAAATGATATATGTAAAATGGTTTAGTCCCAAAAACTTCAATTAACATCAGCAGAAGGTAGGATGTCCAAAATCCAGTTCTTTCCAAAGGATTCTCCGATGGGAACTTTGATTAAAGCCCAGAACATGTGTGGCTAAAACTAGGGCAGGGATGTATGTGACTTGGAAACCTTGCTACTAATGTCCCTCATCAACCAGGTGTAAGTTAGACTCTTGTGGGTTTCCACTCAGCCAACTTTGTAACTGCATTAATCTATGATCTAACTCAGGTATGGCTAAACCCAGGCTCAGGGCCGAATGTGGCCCCTTGGGCTCTTTTCTCAGGTCCTCCTCTCTATCACCATCTTTCCTTCCTTCCTTCTCTCCTTCCCCGTCTCCCTTCCTTCCTTTTCACCCTTTTGTCCATCCTTGCTTCCCTCTTTCCTCCCTCCTTCCCCCCTCTTTTATCTTCCTTTCTTCCCTTTTGTCTTTCCTTCCTTCTCTCTTTCCTCTCTCCCTCCCTCCATTCCCTCCCATCCTTCTCTTCATCCCTTTCTTCCTGCCTTACTTCTCTTTTTCCTTCTTCCTTTCCTCCTGGGGGATGTTTAGCTGGGAGAAGAAAGAGAGGTGTCATGAGAACCATGTTTCAAGATTTGAAAAGGTGTCTCATTGAGGAGGAGGGGGAAAACTGACTTTTTCTGCTCTAAAGACCAGGGCAAAGGGGAGCAATGGTTTCAAATGGCAAAGAAAAATGTCTGAAAAGATTAGGAAGAACTTTCTGGAGAGTGGCATAGGCTGCCTTGGAGTATGGTGGAGTCTCCTTCTCTGGAGGCTTTTCCACAGGGTCTGTCTATTGGGAGTGCTTTGATTGTGTCTTCTTGCATGGCAGGGGGTTGGACTGGATGGCCCTTGGTGGTCTTTTCCAGCTCTAGGATTCTAGGATTCTATACCAGGAGTAGGCAATACGAGGTCTAATGGATATACGTTTTCTCTCCCATCCACCATCTCATCCTGACCAGGGCTAACCCTTTTGGGATCCAAACGTTTCCCGTCTTTCCTTCACTTTCTGCCTCTGAAAGAGAAGAGAGGGGAGGAAAGGGCAGGGAAGGGACTTGGAGAATCCCCTCCTTCCCGGCCCGCCCACCTCACTCTAGCCTGCCATGCAGCTCCCAAGTTAGAAAGTTTGTCCATGCCTGGTCTAAGTCATTTGTGGCTGCTTGGTAACTTTAGGGCGAGCACTTCTGCATCCCTGAACTAATATCTCCATAACAGAGTTGTCAAACTTCTGGCCCTCCAATGTTTGGGCCTCCAACTCCCAGGAGCCCTAGCAAGCTTGTCCAGTTGCTAGAAGCCAAAGTCTAAAACACCTTGAGGACCACAAATTTGGCACCATGGCTCTAAGAGAAAGAGATTTCCTAGTTTTGGAGTTGCCACTTTCAAAGGACGGTTTTCCATCAGCTGTGTTTATGTGGGATCCTCACCTTCCCCCATACACAACAGTCAACCCCTTCATCAGGGTGCCCAAGCACTCTGTATAGTACTTTCATCAGGCTAGAGGGCTACTCTGGGGCCCTTTCTTTGATGCTGCTGGTATTTTCAGGATGAAATAAGTGTTAGTGGTGTGGCCCTAGAATGAGACAATAGACAGATGTGGGTGCTGATCTCTGATATTTCCCCCCAATCTCTGATATTTTCCCCAATCAGTTCTAAAATTGAAGTTGTATTTGTCTCTCTCCCTGATGCCAACACAAAAATAAACATGTAGGCATATCAAACAGATATACAGAAATTTACCAAGGAAAGTTTGGAAGGGGAAAGATAGGACTGAAAAGTACAGAAGCAGATGTCGTATCTCCACTCCTCCTCCTCTTCTCATTTGTCTTATACACCCATTGTTCTACTTGGAAGCCAGAAAAAAACAAGCAAGCCCACACAAACAGTACATGTCAAGTTAAACTGGTGTAGAATAAGGGACTTGATCAATGTTTTTTGGGGCCAGGTGCAGAGCACAACACTGGGTGAATTAGACTAAACATAAGCCTGATTTTGCATTTGTTTTACAAAGGTGACCATTCAGTCACCTCTGGGTTTCGATGCACATCTCATTGAAAGAAATGGTGAATAAACTGCAAGAGAGGATTTGGTGACTGCTTAGATGTGACTGGACATTAAAAAATGGTAGCTCTAGCTAGCACACAGAAATGCACGCACACAGAGTTTAATTCCAAAATGACCACTGGCCTTTAAGTCTGCCTTTAGAAATAATTGCTGTCAAGATGATTGACATAGCTTCCTAGAGAAAGATAAATCCCATGTTCTTTATGTAGTTAACAGCTTAAGCTTTATCTTCAGCCACCACCTGAATGACTGTTACTATTTTTGAAAGTGGATGTGTCTTTAGCTTGATTGCAGCACAGGGTAGTCTTTACTTTCCTTTCTTTTCCTTTTTTTCTGTGTTGGAATCTGGGTCAAACGACATATGAATTCTAAGCAAGGCAAACTGTGCAGTGAGCACAGCAATTTAGATCCTGAAACTTTTCCAAACATGAGTATTTGTGAAGAAAACACCCACTCTCTTTTGGTGATGGTTATGATTTTTTATTATTTCTGCTTAAGAAATGTGTTTCATTTTAGAATAATATACTTTTTTTTCAAATGGAAAACATGATTGATTTTAAATGTCAAAATATCTGTTGTAGATGTCACTCTTCCCCGCCTCAAGGCCTTTATTTCTCAGCTGTTGTCACGGTTACACATTGAAGCACTTCTCCATGGCAATATAACAAAACAGGTTAGTTTTGATGTGTTTTTCAGATGAAACAGATTTATAATGGCTACATGAACTTAAAATCAAGTTTTTAGGTTTCTATATAGCTTGGGTTGCTTTTAAAATCTTCATATATTTTCAGTAGAATAATAAAGGTTGTCTTAGATGTTTCTTTATTCCCTGTTTCTCTTTTAATACATCTTTGTCTATATAAAGATATATAAAATAAGATGAGAAGCCCATATAGAAAAATGGAATGTTGTCTGTTTGAACAGTAATCGGTATAGATTATATGTATCCAAATTGGACATGTATTAGGGGTGCTAGAAGTGTTTTGTTGTATTTTACACTCTGGTTATTTCACAGTGGCCTTTTGCCTCTGATAAGTCTCCATACAAACACCACTTCTTATAGATTGAGAAACCCATTGAACATAGCAAGCTTTTGACTTGGGCAGGATCTACACTGCTAAATAATCCAGTTTAACTGCATTGAACTGTATTCTATGAGTCTACACTGCCATATAATGCAGTTCAAGGCAGTTAAACTGTATTATATAGTAATGTATTATATAGTAATGAGACCTTGGAAAAAGTGTAGGGTGGGCGTTCTGATTGGCTACAATTTCTAGAATATTTCTTGAAAAAATATAAGAAATGTGCCGAATGATGTTTTTGCAGTTTAATAAACGTTTCCCATGTTTTTATGATAGAACCAATTAGGAAATGACATTTATAATCCAGGAACAATAGATCATGTTACACAGTGTAATCCTCATTAAGATAAAGGTAAAGGTTTCTCCTTGACATTAAGTCTAGTCATTTCTGACTCTGGGGGGTGGAGCTCATCTCCATTTCTAAGCTGAAGAGCTGGTGTTGTCCGTAGACACCTCTAAGGTCACATGGCCTGCATGACCCTATAGAGCGTAGTTACCTTCCTGCAGAAGCAGTACCTATTGATCTCACATTTGCATGTTTTCAAACTACTAGTTTGGCAGAAGCTGAGCCTAAGAGTGGGAGCTCACCCTGCTCCCCAGATTCAAACTGCCAATCTTTCTGTCAGCAAGTTCAGCAGCTCAGTGGTTTTACCTGGTGCGCCACCATGTAGCATACTTTATAAAGGAAAATCAGTGGAAATAACAATCGGAGGGAAAATGGCAGCGCTACTGGTTATTACTGCCATCAGTGTTAGAACACACAGACTGTGTTACATGCATTCATGAGATGAGAAATGTGCACTGAAAGAGTCAAGAAGAAAATTGTCTTTCTTAGGTTGCAGCTTCTCTCAATTCCTTTTTATAGCTTCTCTTTCACTTTGTGAACTTTGTGGCTCTAGACAGCTATGTCAATTTCTGTATACAGATAATGCGACTAGTTGCATTCGTAGGAACAGGAGTCACCCTATTACCATGTAGAACAAAAACTGAATGTATGTTCTTGCCTGTTAACAATTCTATGCATTCCCAAATGGAAAATTATCAGGTGATGAATAAAGTCTGCAACAATTCTTTTTCTTTAGGCTGCGCTAGGAATGATGCAGATGGTTGAAGACACCCTCATTGAGCATGCTCACACAAAACCCCTGCTTCCCAGTCAGCTAGTACGATACAGAGAAGTGCAGCTGCCTGACAGTAAGTTGTCCTTCTAGATGTAAGCTCATTTAAAAGTGAGATTCACACTGCATGGAACTTGAAAAAACTGAGGACAAATATCCTTTCAATCACCTCTAATTTTAAAAACTGACATGGTTTCGGTGGTAAACTAAAGAAGTCTTCAGAATCAATGCCAGTGTGATTGGTTTGCAAAATTAACACACATCTTTTTGTAGCATTAGATGGGGGGAAAACCCTGCCTCGTTGAATACAATGTAGAATAATAATGCAAATGAAATGTTTAATTTCCAGTACTTGACATTCAAATACATGTTCAGAATTTATTCACAGTTTTGCAGTGTGGGATAGTAAAACCCAATAGAAAAATTTTGAGTTATAGATTGAGTTACAGATTGCTTTGGGAATATTTACTAATGTACACAATGGAAGCACTATTTACCCAAACCCTATTTGGCATTGTTTCAGGACACATACATATTTGATGTACTGATATAGTTGAAAGGCAACATCTTTTGCTTATGGAAAATTCACATTGTTAGAAATATAGTGCCTCACTTGGCCCCTCATCCATGACTTGCACATGCTAGATATATGTAATGCTCAATACCAATATAGACGCTTTTCAGCTGTTTTGAGCTAAAAATTCTGAACATCTCTGACAGAACCCGTAGCCAATGTTTTTGCCAGCTGGAGCTTCTTGTTGCTAACGTTCAAAACATCTGAAGAATTAAACTCTGAGAACCATTGCACCTAGAATGCATTGCTTCACCTTCAACTTATATTTTGTTTATTTTAAGGGCTGACTCCTTTGGCTCTCTTCCAGAATGACCTTTTGTATGTCTCCTATGTTTTTGTAGGAGGTTGGTTCGTCTATCAACAGAGGAATGAAGTTCATAATAATTGCGGCATAGAAATATATTATCAAACAGATATGCAAAGCACGTCAGAGAATATGTTTTTGGAACTTTTCTGTCAGATTATCTCAGAGCCTTGCTTCAATACCCTGCGGACTAAGGAGCAGCTAGGTGAGCATTTGGTTCTCAGTCTTTTTGTAATTCAGTATGCAGTCAACCTTCTGGCTTTGTGGGATTTAGAGAGTGCAGGACCCCTCCAAACACACACACACAAATACCTGTATTTATGGGGTGACTGTACACAGCTACATATGTGTTACCTGAGCCTTCTCTTGCTCAGGTAGGTAGGAAAGCAATGTTATAGCAGGGAGAGTTGATAGTGTGAGAGTCTACTGGGCAAACAGATGACTACCACCAGCCCCTTCCCATTACCTTTGCCTATCTCCCACTGCCATTCTTCCCACTTCAACTTTCTCTTCCTCCTCTCTCCGACCCAACTTTCCCAGAAACCTGCCCACCACCTTTCATGCCTTCTCATGCTTCTTTGTCCCATTCTCTTGCCCTGCTCGCGCAAATGAATGTATGAAAGAATGCAAATATCTATCCTCTGTCCTCACTTCCCTTCACCTACCTGCCCACCCAAGTACATGAGGAAATGCAAGTTCTCTTCTACCCTCATGCTCCCAGTCTTGTCCCCTCCCCTACTAACCAAGTGAAGGCAAAAGGGAACGCATGAGCACACCTTCCCCATGCCATCCTCTTCTCACCTGCCCAAGTATGTGTGCGTTCCCTCATTTATTCACTTGGGCAGGCAGATGGATGAAGATGGGGACAGGGGAGCATGAGAAGTGTGTGCAAGAGAATGCATTCACACACACTTCTCATGCTCCCCTGTCCCCATCTTCATCCCTCTACCTGCCCAAGTGAATAAATGAGGGAACACACACATACATACCCTCCCTGCTCTCAGTCCCATCTCCTTCCCCTCGCACCCAGACAAGGACATGTGGGAGGGAATGCATGCACAACCCTCTCCTCTCATCACTTCCCTGTCCCATCCACTTCCCCCTACCTGAATGAATAAATATATGCACATATTCTCTGAATGGTACTCCTTTCCCATCCCTTTATCCCTGTCTGAGTGAATGCATGCACCCACACTCCCTCCTCATACTCCCTTTTCCCACCTTCTTCCCCTCCACCCAAGCAAGCAAATGTGTGAGGGAACATGCATGCATGCCTCCTTACTCATGGTCCCTTGTTCCAACCCATTACCACTCGCCTGATCCAGTAGGTGAATGAACACATGCCCATATCCTCCCTCCACATACTCTCTCATCCCATATTCCCACCAAAGCATGCATGCACCTCCTCTCATCATGCTGTCTATCCCTTTCCCCCTACATGTGAGGTAATGCACTCACGCACCCTTCCTCTTCATGCTTCTCTGTCCAATCCCCTTCCTCTCCTCCTGAGTGTGCACATTTTTGTGTGTGTCAGGAGTGACTTGAGAAACTGCAAGTTGCTTCTGGTGTGAGAGAATTGGCCATCTGCAAGGACGTTACCCAGGGGACGCCTGGATGTTTTACCATCCTGTGGGAGGCTTCTTTCATGTCCCCGCATGAGAAGTTGGAGCTGACAGATGGGAGCTCACCCTGCTCCCCAGATTCGAACCACCAACCTTTCGGTCAGCAGTCCTACCGGCATAAAGATTTAACCCATGGTGCCACTATGCACATGAGGGAATATACCCCTCCTTGCACTCGCATCCCCTTTCCTCTCTTCCTGTGCAAGTGAATGCACTGGAGAACACACATGCACACTTTCTCTTTATGCACTCGCCCATCCCGCCTCCTCCCTCCCTTCTCAGGTGAGTGCATGAGTGAAAGTATATGCACATATTCCCCCATATGTTTTCAATTCTGTTCCCTTCCACACCAATCAAAGTAAGTGAGGGAATGCACGTGTACACCTTTCACAATCTTTTATTCCCCACCCCCTGCCTGCTTGAGCAAGCAAGGGAATTACACATGAACCCTCCATTCTCATACTTCCCTTTCTCCCACTCATCTGTGAGTAATTATGCACAGGAGCATGTACAGTATATGGCTGGTCACATCAGCACCACCAGTTTGCTTTCTTTCCAGTGATCAAAGATTTGAAAGCTCACTAAGTTTGGTCTAACTGAATACAGCTCAAAATGGACATCAGTGTTATTAAAGTCTCAATTGGCAGACTTTTTATTTCAGTTGCTATAGGTACAATCGTAGTTGTACCCGATGCTCTGATTCAGGATGAGTAAACAATAATGAGATACGTCGAGTGTGCCTAATTTTCCCATTGCAAATTGGCATTGTTGTTTGGATTCCTTTGATGCTTCATACTATGTAATTTGGACACACGTCTTATATAATGTTTTGAATACTTAGAGTTATGCAGTTGAAGAGCTTGAAGTCCCTGTTTTTCACATTAAATTGGATAAAAATAGCAGCCTCTCTAACAGGATGGGGTTATATTCCTTTGTGTGAATAGTTTAAAAACAAATAAGCCAAGAAGTCAAATAGGTTGCTGAGAGTTTTCTGACCTGTATGGCCATGTTCCAGAAGCATTCTCTCCTGATGTTTTTACCACATCTATGGCAGGTATCCTCAGAGGTAGTGAGGTCTGTTGGAAACTAGGCAAGTGAGGTATATATATCACTGGCATGTCCAGGATGGGAGAAAGAGCTCTTGTCTGTGGGAGGCAAGTATGAATGTTGCAAATGGCCACTTTCATTAGTATTGAATGGCCTTGCAGTTTCAAGTCCTTTCTTCCACCCTGGACATTCCACAGATATATAATCCTCATTTGCCTAGTTTCCAGCAGACCTCACAACCTCTGAAGATTCCTGCCATAGATGTGGGTGAAACGTCAGGAGAGAATGCTTCTGGAACATGGCCATACTGTGGACTCCCATTACTTATTTAAAGTTCTTCCTGTACAATAAAAAAAGATTAAAATGTGTTATTGAAGGCATTCATGGCCTGAATCACTGAGTTGCTATAAGTCTCCGGGCTATATGGCCATGTTCAGAAGCATTCTCTCCTGATGTTTTGCCCACATCTATGGCAGGCATCCTCAGAAGTTGTGAGGTCTGTTAGAAACTAGGCAAGTGAGGTGTGGAATGTGGAATGCTCAGGGTGGAAGAAAGAACTCTTGTCTGCTTGGGGCAAGTGTGAATGTTGCCATTGGCAATCTTGATTAGCATTTAATGCCTTTTAGCTTCAAAGCCTAGCTGGTTGCTGCCTGGGGGATCCTTTGTTTGGAGGTGTTAGCTGACTGTGATTAATTCTTTTCTGGAATTCCCCTGCTTTTTGAGTGTTGCTTTTTATTTACTGTCCTGATTTTAGAGTTTTTAAATACTGGTAGCCAGATTTTGTTTATTTTCATGGTTTCCTCCTTTCTGTTGATTTTGTCCATGTGCTTGTGGATTTCAGTGGCTTCTCTGTGTAGTTGTTAGAGTGGCCCAGCATTTCTGTGTTGTCAAATAATATGCTGTGTCCAGATAGGTTCATCAGGTGCTCTGCTGTGGCTGACATCTCAGATTGAATTAGTCTGCAGCGCCTTTCATGTTCCTTGATTCCTGTTTGGGCAATGCTGTGTTTGGTGGTCCCTATGTAGACTTGTCCATAACTGCGTGGTATATGATCTCCAGATTAAAAATATTAAAGGGGAAATGTAACTAGCATAACAGATGAGTCTAAATGATCTTACCCACACTCCACTCTTAAGTATGTCATAGTGATGGGCCTTACTTTATGTATCTTTCTATCTATCAAGCTCTCCTCTCCTCAGGACAAATGGGGACCTTGCATTGCTCCTAACACTTTCAGCAGACAATGTGTGAGGGCTACCCATTAAGGGGTTAATTATCATGTTAGAACTTAATATGAATTTACACAGTAATAAAACATGTTCTTTCTTCCTTTTCTTGAAAGCAGAAACTTTTGATGACAGATAAGATGTGAATAGATTGAATTTGCTTATTTTTTTTCCAAGGGTACATTGTGTTCAGTGGTCCACGAAGAGCTAATGGTATCCAAGGACTGCGATTTATCATCCAGTCAGAAAAGCCTCCACACTATTTGGAGAGCAGGGTTGAAGCGTTCTTAAAAACCATGGAGAAGTGTGTAGAAGAGATGTCAGAAGAAGCATTTCAAAAGCATATCCAGGCTTTAGCAATTCGTCGCCTTGACAAACCAAAGAAACTGTCTGCCGAGTGTGCAAAATACTGGGGAGAAATAATTTCTCAGCAATATAACTTTGACAGAGGTAAGGAGATGACTTAGCTCCACTGTGACTAGAATAGTAAATTTCCAGACGGAAGTCACAATCAGACACATCTAAAATGGCTATGATGAATAATAAAATAATACTAAATTTCACATCCAAATCTTGAAGAATTTTTGTTTTTAGACTACAGCCAAGATATTCTTAGAGGTATAATCCAAAAAGACGTTTTTTCCAAAGTCTGGAAGTTTGGCATGTATTTTTAGTACACTTTTTAAATGTAACAAAATTTGGAAAAAAAAATCTGATCCTCGCTTGAAAGTATTATTTCCTGTTTAATTGTGCATTAGTGACTTTGAAAGCAGTTTTTATACTCCAAAAACTTGGTTTTTGTGGCTGCCACAAACTATGTTGAAGTGATTGAGACTCTATGAGATTTTCATTGAAAAACTATAGCAAAATGTGCTGCAGGATGTCCCACAAAAACAACATTTTTTAGTTCAATAAACTTTTCCCATGCTTTTATGATAGAACCAATTAGGAAATGGCATTTATAACTCAGGAACAAAAACTGTGTTACCTAGTGTTATAGAGGGAGGCAGCATTGTTAGTGGTTTAAGTGTTGGAGTAAAACACAGAGACCAGGGTTCAAATCCTTGCTTGGCCATGGAAACCTAGTGAAAAGCCTTGAGCAAGTCACACACTCTGCCAAGAACCTGTCCTTTACCTTGGGACTGCCATAAAACAAATGACTTGAAGGCATAAAGTAACAAATATAATACAGTACCTTATAGTTTTGAAAGAGATAATTGTTCAGTTCAGATATATCCTAGGGCTGCTTTATCCCTTTCTTTCCACAGGCTGTGAAAAAGAGGCTTGATGGAAATTTAGCACTATTAATCCCTTAGCCATGGTTAAGGACTGAGTCCAAGAAATACATTTATCATTCAGGATAACAGTATTTGCAGTGGCAAACATGTGTTGAGATTTTACAGCCTTTTAAGAATATGGAAGCAAAACATAACTCTATGAATTTCTCACCATTGTTGTCCAGATAACATTGAAGTGGCATTTCTCAAAACTCTTACAAAGGATAACATAATGCACTTTTATAAGGTAAGTTGATCACATTATTTCCAATTAATTTATTGAGAAATATCTGGAGATGTTTTGTATGAAAGTTACCTACAAAGCCCTGAACGGTTTGGGACCAGCTTACCTGAGTGACCGCATTTCCATCTACGAACCCACACGCTCACTTCGGTCATCTGGAGAGGCCCTGCTCGTGATCCCACCTGTGTCGCAAGCGCGCTTGGTGGGGACGCGGGACAGGGCCTTTTCCGTGGTGGTCCCCAGACTCTGGAACACCCTCCCCAAAGACCTTAGACAGGCCCCCACACTGGCAGTCTTCAGAAAGAACTTGAAGACTTGGCTTTTCCGATGCGCCTTCCCAGATTAGGAAATCTCCACTACCAAGTCCCATAAGCACCTTATCAGAACCAATGACTGTTGCACATCGCAATTGCCCTAGAAGCCACATATACACCTCCTGTCACATCAGCACTTTTAATTCTTGTACCCATTACTTTGGCCTGGCCCAGTTTTTATTGTGTTTTAGTGTATTGCTTTTGCCTGTTGTTTATTTGCTTTATCCTGTTTTTAATTGTTTGATTTGCCTAGTTTGTATTGCTATGTCATGTGTTGAGGCCTCGGCCTGTGTAAGCCGCATCGAATCCTTCGGGAGATGCTAGCGGGGTACAAATAAAGTTTAATAATAATAATAATAATATATGTAACAAAACATATCAATTTTGTAAAGTATGTGATTATTTAAGCTCGATTTTTGGATAATCCTACCCAGTTCCCTCAGCTGTTCCTCATAGGGCTTGGTTTCCAAACTATTGATCATTTTTATCCCCCTCCTTTGGACATGTTCTAGCTTGTCAATATCCTTCTTGAATTGTGGTACCTAGAACTGAACACAGTATTCCATATGGACTATGACTTCCCTTGATCTCAACATTATTCCCAAATTGATGCAGCCTAGAATCGCATTGACTTTTTTTTAGCTGCCACATCACACTGTTGACTCATGTTCAGTTTTTGGTCAACTAACTTTTGTATTGCATCTTAAAAATTTGCCTAGTTTGGAGTGTTACCTGCCTTGAGTCCCCAAGGGGAGAAAGGCGGGGTATAAATAAAACAATAAATAAAAATAGATATTGAGACCCTTTTCATATGTACTATTTTCAGCCAGGTGTCACCCATCTTATACCTTTGCATTTCATTTTTATTGCCAAAGTGTAGTACCATGCAGGCTGTGTTTTTTATTTAATTTTAGTTGTTAAGTCATAATTTGTCTTTATATTTTGGGTTGCCAAATTTCATTAGTATGGATATATTGTTGTTGTGTTTGGGCATTGAATGTTTGCCTTTTATGTTTGGAATCTGCCCTGAGTCCCTCCGAGGAGATAAGGTGGAATATGAATAAAATACTATTATTATTATTATTATTATTATTATTATTATTATTATTATTACTAGCCGTCCCCTGCCACGCGTTGCTGTGGCCCACATGGGGGTTCTGTGTGGGAGGTTTGGCCCAATTCTATCGTTGGTAGGGTTCCGAATACTCTGTGATTGTAGGTGAACTATAAATCCCAGCAACTGCAACTTCCGAATGTCAAGATTCTATTTTCCCCAAACTCTACCAGTGTTCACATTTGGACATATTGAGTATTTGTGTAGAGTTTGGTCCAGATCCATCATTGTTTGAGTGCACAGTGATATCTGGATGTAGGTGAACTACAACTCCAAAACCAAAGGTCACTGCCCACCAAACCCTTCCAGTATTTTCTGTTGGTCATGGGAGTTCTGTGTGCCAAGTTTGGTTCAATTCCATCGTTGGTGGGTTCATAATGCTCTTTGATTGTAGGTGAACTATAAATCTCAGCAACTCCCATCACTACAAATAAGATATGTGCAGCGTTCATAGGAATTCATTCATGGTTTTTTTTTCAAATTATAATCCGGCCCTCCAACAGTTTGAGAGACTGTGACCTGGCCCTCTCTTTAAAAAGTTTGAGGACCCCTGCTCTAAATGGCTTTGATGCTTGAAGGGGAGCATCTCTCCTTGTATATTCCTTTCCTTTTCTGAGTCACACCAGTAGGGAGGGGACTGCATTGTGGCAGGACATGGGAGAAGGCCTTCTCTGGCTCCCTGGTTATGGAATTCTTCATGGAGGACTTTTCTTCACCAGTGTTAATGTTATTCTGGTGCCAACTCAAAAGCCTATCCGATTTGTACATATGCTGTGGTTGGCCTTATTTTAAATTAACCATTTTAAGTGATAAAACAATTCCATATATTTTTAGTCTTATAAAAGTATTGTTATCGTTATTTTTATATATATTTTCTACACTGTCCTGTGATTCTCAGTTATAGTCTGGAATATAAATACTGACATAAATAAATGGTCTCTTGAAATAATTGGCCATGTTCTTTTTCCTGCAGGATTTGTTGGCAATAGATGCTCCAAGAAGGCACAAAGTATCTGTACATGTATTAGCAAGGGAGATGGATTCGTGTAAGTATTTACTGCAGTTATTTTCTTTCCAGAAATCTCTGTTCAGTTCTTCCCAGAAGAGCTGTTTAGAATGTAGAGCAAGCATAGTCCCACAAAACTAAATTCTGGAAGGATTTTTATGACCTCTAGTGGATGGGTAGAAGCATATTTACGCATAGAAGCCCAGGAGGGTCGTTAATGTTTGGAAAAGATTTGCAGATTTCAAAACAATGAAGAAAAAAACCTTTAGTTCTTTACATTGAATGGTCCATGCAGAATATGTGGGTGTGCTACTGGAATATTTTAACAGAGATTTAGATGTGGCTGTTGTTATTATTGAATAGGTCCTGTTGTGGGAGAATTTCCATGCCAAAACGATGTAAACCTGGCACCAGCACCAGCACTGCCACAGGTAAAAAGAATTTGTTTTTCATAATCATTCATAAAAGTGCCTAAGATATTGTTCAACATGGTTATGAGCATGCTAAACCTGAGCTTGCGCTTACTTAAAAGTAAATACAACTATGTTAGAATGAGTAAATGCATGGAGGGTCCAGACAAGTAAGATTGCATGTGAAGGGCCACAAGTGCTTAGGAGAGACAAATGTACAATTTAGCAATAGCAGTACAAGCAAATGTTGCCTTGCTCTGCACTCTTTCTGTTTCTGCTCCATCTCTATCTCTGCTCTTCCCTCTAGTCTGTAACCCCAGTGCCTAACTTCCAGTGGTTCATTTGCACAAGGCACTGATTTGAATTTTCATGATTTTAACTGTTGTTTTAATATCTTTTAATTGTTTGGATTTTAATGTATTTGGTTATCTTCAGATTGATATGTGTTGGCATTGAATCGTTGCCTATTTTAAGGCCGCCCTGAGTCCCTTAACTGGTGAGAAGGGCAGGATACAAATGTGGAAAATAAATTAATAATAATAATAAATTGGTGATGACTTAACCATGGAGACTGCCAGTGCCATAGTGACAAAGAGGGGTTTTGAGCCACTTTATAGACCTCTCTAGAGTGAGCCATTTGTGGCCTTTCTGAAAGCTGTGCTGGATGTCTTGCTATTGTGTTATTACCGTGGCAGGAAAAGAAAACATGTCATGATTCTCCTAGAGAGTATGCTTCCAGCTTTCTTCAGAAAGGAAAATGGCTAGGAGAGTTCTTCAGGGTTACTAACTGACCACAGCCAGTAAATGCCTTACTCAGACACCTCCTCCAGAGTAAGGCACTATGGTCCAGCGAGCACAGGCCTTGTTTATATTTTAATCTATTTAAATAAAAATGTAATGCTTGTTTGTGGGATTAACATAACTCACAAACCACTGGATGAATTGACACCAAATTTTGACACAATACACCTATCAGGCCAATGAGGGATCATCACTCAGAAAAGCACTGAAAAACACAGCAGAAGAGACTTAAAAAGCAACCCCCCCCAAAAATACATTACAATGCATGTGCAAAACCACATATACACACACATACATATACATATATACACACACAAAACACATATACACAGACTGGGCCACAGCAACACGTGGCAGGGGATGGCTAGTTAGTTTATATTTGAGCCACTGAAAGCAATGTGTGGAATGACCCAAGCACTCCTGGAAAACCAGATTCCCATGAAGGAGGGGAAACTGCCCTCTGTGTTTACACACATAGGGATTGTGCTTCTAGATGTGTTTTATAGAGTTCAGCGTTCACGTCACAGCCAGAAAGTTTGCATAAGCCACAACAGTGGGAAATACCTTGCTTCTGGGACTTGATGTTGTCGAACTTTTGCTTTATTTGGGCTGGTTTGCCACTATAACAAACCTTCAGAGGGTCTTGAAATAATTGACTATAATGCAAATAATTGACTATAATGCAAATAATTGACTATAATGCAAATAATTGACTATAATGCAAATAATTGATATTTCCAAACATTGAATCTCAGTATAATTAGACTGTTGTGCCTTAATTTAGTCATTGTCTTTTAAACTCCAGCCTTCGTCATAGAACCCATTTTGACTCTATCACCTATTGGCAGATTTTGTCAAAAAGCTGAAATGTTGCTTGTTTCTTAGCGGAGAACTGCTGAGCTTCCATACACCCTTCTAAATACTTGGTGGCTTGATGCAAATTTATCCTGAGTTAGTATTATCTCCTTGTGTACCATTTGGGAATTATCTAACCTTGCGCATTTCATTATACCTTGAAGTAGTTTATTGTAGCTTTTCTGAAACAGAGCTGTTTCTGTAACCTGTTGCAAACTCAGCTTTGTAATGTGTCGTCTTTGTTCATCACAGAAACATTGACTTTAAAGCAGGGCTGTGTCTGAAGAAAAGGCCTACATATATTATTGGATTTTTAAATCATTTTATGTATATGCGGCCTGGCCTTTGTCTTTCTGTCATTATGCTTACTTCCTATGTTTTGTGTATATTGTTTTATATGCTTTGATGTTTTATATTTTAATGTTATGTTGTTTATTTTATTGCAATTTGTATTTATATATTGTAATTCTTGTTTGGGCTTGGCCCCATGTAAGCTGCTCTGAGTCCCCTTTGGTGAGATGGTGGCGGGGTATAAATAAAGTTTTATATTATTATTATTATTATTATTATTATTATTATTATTATTATTATTATTGCCACTCCCAGGATCCTCCACTCTTAGGATTGCTGGAAGTTGCAATTCAACGATGGCTAGAGAGCCTCCCTTTCATGAGTCCTGCTTTAAAGTGAGATATCTTGTTTAGTGTAGATTCACAGCCCACATTTTGATTCTCCAAATTTAGGCTGTGGTCGTTTTTCATTTGGTTTTAAAAACGAGTGTGCCACTATGGATATTTATGCGTGTGCTGCATTCTCAATGTATCTTTCTTGAAATGCTTATTTGCAGCCAGACGTGATTCAGAACATGACGGAGTTCAAGCGCAGTCTACCCCTCTTCCCTCTGGTGAAACCTCATATCAATTTCATGGCTGCAAAACTGTGAAGACAGCCTGGGCGAAGAACTGGAAGTGGATCATTCTTGTGTGACTGCAGTGGGTTTTCATAATGAGCAAGCTTCTTAAATTGTTATTTGGACAAACTGTCCCAATATGAGGGTCCCTGATTCCTTCTAAGTTCATTCAGCATCAATGGTGTGATAAGGATCCAGCAAATTAGGCAAATAGGCCGTAGTCATATGTCATGTTTATTGTAGAGCCTCTCTTGGAGACCCAAATCAAGTGGTATATTCAAAGGTCTGTGTAGGTATGGTATATTTAACAATAGTGTGGCCCTTCAACAATTTTGTTTGCAAAATGGAATATGAAGAAGCGTTCTGGACAGACTGGTTTTACTTTAAAGGCTCTTCCTTTTCCTACAAGTGGTCATTAATCTTAAACATTTGGGGAGTTTATTTTATTGGATGTGGAGAAACAAAACATTATTAAAAGACACATAGTAATATTTTTTAAAGAGAGAGCATGGAATGGAATTTTTATTTTAAAAAGAAATGATCCTCAGAGGCAGCCAAGTCCTTTGGTTCTGCATAAAAATCTGATGAAATTAGTAAAATGCCAACAGATGTCTTCAATATAAGAGGAGTTGCTAGGATATACTTTTAATCTTTATACACAATTGGGGATGTTTTATATTCAGACTAGTAAAATGCTGGAAACACTTGGTTAGCTATCTTTTTTCTTACTAAGAGTTATCTTCTGTTATAGCCCTTGCATTTTCTCAGGGTTACTCAGATAATCGCAGATAATATTTCTTTTTATTTACATAAATGAATTGATTTTCTTCCAGTTATTCGTTTACTGATTTAGATCCCTTTAGGGCCGCCCTCACTTTGTTTCGAATGGGCAACCTGCCAAAATGTGGCAGTGGATTTTAAGATATTTAAAACGTGGACATGAGACATACTTCCAAGCTGGTAGATACAACTGAGATCTTAGCATTTGTCACCAAAACACAGCTATGCCTGGATCCCAGAGCTGCATTATTTGAATGTCCGGTGCTAGTTATACTTCTTACAACATCAGAATATTGGTTCCATTAAGCATTATGCACCATAATCCTCATCTACCATTCTTTTCTTATCTTGATTAAAGTTTTCAAGGTATACAGACATGTCTTTCAGCCTTCAGTAATAATAATAATATACTTTATTTATATTCCGCTCTATCGCCCCGAGGAGACTCAGAGGGAATTACAGGTACATATATGACAAACATTCAATGCCGTTATTCAGTTGACAGGGACAGATAGTACATAAATGGAGGCAAGGCTTCCCTCTTTTCATCTCCGGGATCCGGCTGTGCTCGAGTCAGCCATGTTGTTTCATTTTCCATGGGAAGGAGCATGTCATCCATGGACTCCTTTCCTGGTCGGTTTTTTGCCGGCATGTTTTTCAGGGTGCCTTTTACCTCCCCGCCAAAGCAGTACCTATTTATCTACTGACATTGTTTTCAAATTTCTAGGTGAGCAGAAGCTGGACTAATGGCAAGAGCTCACCCCGACCCGGGCTTGAACTGCCAATCTTCCGGTGGGCAGGTGGTTTATACCGCTGTTCTAGACCAGCCCTACGTGTGCTAGCCCGGTAGTACTGAAAGTGAGGAAGACAATGTACAGCTACATTGTTAGATCATGTCAGCAGTTACATATTATAGTCATGATACAACATGAAATTGAACCTTAAAATCTTTCAAACACTGGTTTGATGCTTTGCCGTTGTCATCTTCTGGAACTTCATGTATCCGAAATGCCAGTCATAGCACAAAATGGCGGCCGATTTGGGATACAAAACAACAGACTTAACAGCAATGGTTTTCTTGGAATACAGCACAACTAAAGAAGCTTTGTATTCAAAATTTTAAAAATGAAAATGATAACAGAGGTTTCAATCTTTTTTTAGTCTTCAGTCTATACTGAATGGTGGCTATGACACTAAAAGCACACAGAGAATGATCAGGTGCTGATGAATTCATCAAAATGATTTGGAGGAGAAAAAGCACTTGCATTTACTGATGTATTTTTTTCAGATATTTACTCTCCTTGAGTTCATTACATAGGTTCAAAGGTCTGAACATTCAGGACAGGGGGATCCATCAGGAAAAGTCTTAAAAACATGATGGATTTCTAGACCTAGCTTGCCTTTCTAAGAGAAATTGTGCCTCTTTAGAAATCTGACCTGTGTAGTACTCCTGTATTCAATGCATTAATTACCTCCTATGTCGGATCTGGCTGTATTATGGTGATTTTGGCTGTACCACCCACTCATCTCATCATACATTAATTGCCTTGTTAATTGACAGAAGAAGAATGTCAACTTCCTGAAAACAGAGATATGATGCCCAAGTAGGAAATAAACAGCCACTCTTAGGACACAGACTTGACCTCTGTCCTATCTTGTAGTAGAAAGTGTTACAACACTGCTTGGTTTCACCCTGTTAAGTTTGAAAACCTCTCCCAGCTCTTACGGCAAGAAGAGGGCGATTGGAAGACAGAACTAGGCCAAGATTTCTCCAGGGTTTGTCTGTGTGTGTGTGCTGCTGAAGGTCAGCCTTTCATGCCTTTCAGTTCAGTATTCATTATAGCTGTCTTCATGGTAAAGAGGTTATCTGACGGGTAACAGGTTTTTTTCAACATGCGGGGAAAAAAACAATCTGACAGCATGCTGAGCAATCGATGGACGTCTTCACCAATTGACAACTGGCATAATGTATTGAAATTGCCACGCACGCCATGGATTTGTACTCTGAATTTGGATGCTATCGTATGATTATGCTGCGATGTTTAAATAAACATGTAGTTTTATTTATGGAACGCAAGCTTTGGCAGGAGAATTGGGGATTAATCATGCAAGTATTGTTCACATGTCAAATCAAAGGATTGGTGCTGAGGAGGGAATCTGCTGGAAAATTATATCGCACAAGGCAGGGAGAGTGATACAGGAGCGGTGCTTAGAGACTGTTGATAGGAAGACTGGACCAAGGAAGTTTTGATTCATCTCTCAGAAGACAATTTGTCACAAATAGATTCAGTCATTTTTTAGGGGAGGTGTGAGAATCGGTGACCTTCCAGAGGGAATCTTTGGACTATAGCTGCTGACACCCACGTTCTTCATTCTATCCTCCTGACCAAAAGTCAGGATTGATGGGAATGATATCCTAGTGATTTCTGGAGGTTCCTTACCCCTGTTTAGGAGAGCATTCAAAGTTGTGATGCTGTCAGCTTTCGTGAAAACATTTTTTGCGGAGAGAATGTGTTGGTTTTTTCTCTAGTAGAAATTTGGGTATTGATAATGGCAGTTGTATTCCCAAAAAATGACTATAGAATTATTCCGGATCTTTGATTGGAGGATCAGAATAAATTCATTGGAAAACATGCTGTTTTACAAGCTGTTAGTAAAAACCAGTCACCATTTCTTTACTTATGGAATCCTATCAGAGTTAACTTTACAGTTGTATTCTCTTTCTCCGAAATGTTCAACAGATTTTTGTGTGTCTCCTTGTTTGGTTCACAATAACTTTTGTAGCTGTTTTTAATGAGAGAACTGGAATGCACATTTCAAAATGACGTATTTTGAGATTTGACGTTTCAGTAAATACGGTGGCCAAGAACTATGAGCAACTGATAATAGCAAATCAGTTTGTGAAATAAAAGATAATTCTTAATTTATTCAAGTAACTCAACACTGAGTTTATATTATAACTTGCACAATCATATCAGATGATTCCAGCGCAAGAGAAAACCTTTTATATTTACATAACAGGTCACTTGGTTTTCAGTTAGACTGGCAGGCTTCCGAAGTGATTTTTCAATTTGCGGAAAATAAATGTTTGCCAGCCTAATATTAAATATTGGTGCTAGGATTATAAGATAACACAGGCAATGCTTCCTTCTTTGTGACACCACATTCGCATAGTATGCACCAAATATTCATACTTGTTATTACCTTTCGAGGAATGTGGAACCTGGGCCCCAGAGATGGCCGTTCAGACAAGCAAAGAAAGCCCTCTGGATGCACACAATGTTGGCACCTTTGGTGCCAAATAGGATGCCACTCTGAAAGGCGGGATAGCTTTTTGGGAAGGACTAGAATGGTGGTTCTCCACCTGTGGGTCCCCAAGTGTTTTGGCCTACAATTCCCATAAATCCCAGCCAGTTTACCAGCTGTTAGGATTTCTGGGAGTTGAAGGCCAAAATATTTGGGGACCCACAGGTTGAGAAGCACTGGACTAGGAGGAGGAGCACTGAAGAGGTCCCAATATGCCAACATCACTTTCCCTGTGATCTTCTTTCCTCATTCATTTTTACTGCCTGTATTCCATACATTAATGGAATGCCCATGATAAACCATCAATAATACGATAAGCCTTATTTTAAAAATACCATGAATTCAGCGTGTCCATGTGCTAGGAACACAATGTGTCTATTAGCAATATTCAGTTTCTTTTTTTAAAAGTGTTCTCCAGCATTTTATAGTTTGAGTTTGGTAGAACAATGCAGTTTGATAACTCAGGCATATCAGTGGATTCTCTCCAGTAGATCCAAAGCTGCAGTGTCAACAAGCAATAATAGACTACCTAGAGTACACTGTAATTCCATTTTAGTGCTCGTTAACAACATTTGTGTAACCAACCATCAATTATGACTAGATTACTGTAATTTTTGCAAGTGCTATTTTGAGCAGTTGATGTGGAATTGGGTGCATGTTGACATAGTATGGCGGAGTGTTTGTCATACTCTTGACAATAAACAATCTGAATACAACCTTTGGAGTCTTTCCCATTGATTTGAGTTTTGCCGTGTTAATAGTCATGACTGCCAGGCTCCGGGTGTCTGTAGAAAAGGATTATTTTAAATGATGCTGCTCACACATTTAACATGTCCATTGGTTCCAGGCGGCTGAATTGTTCTTACAGGAAATATAGGAAGACCTTGAACAAAATTTAAAAGATTTTACATTAAAAGAAATAAGAAGAAAAGGGGGAGGGGGTGGAATGGTGCATCATGTTCAAAGCAAAATACTTTTTTCAAAAGCAAGGCACAAAAGTTTTAGGAAAGTAAATAAATGATTTTAGAAGACCAACTGGTTGTCACAACAAAAATGTAGTGAGAACATGGTTGTTGTAGGTTTTTCGGGCTGTATGGCCATGTTCTAGAAGCATTCTCTCCTGACGTTTCGCCTTCATCTATGGCGGCCCTCCTCAGAGGTTGTGAGGTCCTCTGAGGATGCTTGCCATAGATGCAGGCGAAACGTCAGGAGAGAATGCTTCTAGAACATGGCCATACAGCCTGAAAAACCTACAACAACCCAGTAACTCGGCCATGAAAGCCTTCGACAATACAGTGAGAACATTATTTGAAGTTTACCAACTTGCAGAAAAACCCAAAAAGCCACACACAATAGCTGGAGAACTTGTATTACCTGCTTTAAAAAAACATGGTTTCTGCATTAACAGGAAAACCGCCAACGACCTTTACTTAATACTTTTGTCAAATACCACAGTTAAAAAGAGAATTGATGGTTTGGCAGCCAGTTCCAAAACACAGTTATTAGAATTTGTTTGCCTCCCTGTTTTGCTCTCCAACTAGATGAGAGCACAGGCATAACAAATAGTGGCATTAGATTCAAAGCAGTGTGTTTCATGAATGTTTCCTTGTTCCTGATGTGAGCAAAAACTGGATTAGTGATCCATTTTCAGTTAATGTGTATGAACTAGAGTGGCTTACACAGCAGCTGAGGAAAACAAGCTCATAAAAGTATCCACAGATGGTGCTCGGAAACTATTGTTCAAGGGATAGAGTCTTTCAAATTTCTGGGCTCGCAAGCAAATTTTCCAGAACTATGGAAGAAATTTAGGATGCCTTTTGTAATGATATAATTTTGTGAAAAACCATTCTCTGCTCTTGTTTACCTCTAAAATAAGAATAGAAACCATTTGAAAAACAGGAGTCAGAACAGAGTACAAGTTTCAGCTATTAAGCCATATACAAGAAAACTTCATTGCACAAAGAAGACAAATCAGCAAGACCGTTGCCATCCCATTCCCAGTCGGCCTCCTGTTATATACTCGTCCCCCACTATTGAAGGGAAACCCACTGATAACTGCACCATGTTCCCATCACCTACCTGTTGCAGTGAGCCCAGCATCCCACAACTGAAGTCTCACAACCTCTGAGGATGCTTGCAATAGATGCAGGTGAAACGTCAGGAGAGAAGGCTTCTAGAACATGGCCATACAGCCCGAAAAACCTACAACATCCCAAGCTAAACTGCTTCTGCATTTCTTTTGTATGTTGACTCACACTGCTAAAGTAGAACCCCATTCTTTCCCATATTGGGCTTCCTTGCATTATTTATAGTAGGCACACCATTACAAACCAAGACTGAAAATCTGTGTCCAGCCATTCTTCAACATCCTCCAAATGCCAGTGATTCCTTGCACTCCAAATCTTTTAAACAGACAGCAAGAAAACCAGGGGCTGGACTTTTACAGAAACATTGTAGTCCAGTGGTGCTTAACCTGTGGGTCCTCAGATGTTTTAGCCTTCCAACTTCCAGAAATACTACCAGCTGGTAAACTGGTTGGGATTTCTGGGAGTTGCAGGCCAAAACACCCGAGGACCCACAAGTTGAGAATCACTGTTTTAGTCATTGCTTTAGTTTTGATAGCAGTTGCTTTGATTTGTGTTCGGCTTTGGTATACAGCTTTAAAATCTGTACACATATTAAGGAATTGAACCAAGAAGTCTTTTAAAAATCAGGATGGAGAACTTTTGCCCCACCATAATTCCTGTTATTCCTTACCATTGCCTCTGCTGGGTGGAATTGCCCACTAAAACAACAGAGGGACAGAATTTCCATACGCCTGGACTACATCAAATTTAAAACCCAATCCTGAACACACTGCCTTAATTTTAAGGTAAATAATCTTAAAGAAGTTGGGGAGAAGGAACATTTTTCTGTCTCATCCCACGTTGTTTTTGGAAGACCCTCAACCTCCTGACGGAGTTTTTGGTGGATCACATCACAGTGCACAAGTCAGGAGATTTTCCTTCTATGAACTAACTTACTTTACTTCTAAATCCCATGAATACTAACACAAAAATGTCTTTATGGGTTCAGCACTGGAACATTATCAACTCAAGTTCCTTCGCAGAGACACAACTACAAGTTGAAGATGCAGAAACTGGTTGGAACCAATGGGATTTATTTCATGGTAAGTTTACATAAAATTACAGGCGTATTTAGGAAACATTCTTGGTTGAAACTGATGATCTAGATCCATTGCAGTCTGGTTTTAGGCCTGGTCACAGTACGGAGATGGCTTTGGTCACCTCGGTGGATGACCTCCACAGAGAACTGGGGAGTGTGCCCTTGTTGGTTCTCTTGGACATCTCAGCAGCTTTCAATACCATCAACCATGGTATCTTTCTGGGACAACTCTCTGGAATGGGTCTTGGGGGCACTGCTCTGCAGTGGCTCTGCTCTTTCCTGGAGGATCGTACCCAGTTGGTGAAACTGGGATACACCTGTTCAGACCCCTGGCCATTATCCTGTTGGGGTCCCACAAGATTCCATTCTATCTCCCATGCTTTTTTAATATCTACGTGAAACTGGAGAGGTCATCCAGAGTTTTGGAGTTCAGTGCCATCTCTATGCAGATTACACTTAACTCTACTACTCCTTTCCACCTAATTCCAAGGCAGCCCCTGGATCCTGGACCAGTGCCTGGTTGCTGTGATGGACTGTATGGGGGCTAACAAGCTGAGGCTTAATCCAGACAAGGCAGAGGTCCTCCTGGTCAGTCGCGAGGCCGATCGAGTTATTGGGTGGCAACCTGTGCTCGATGAGGTTACATTCCCCCTGAGGTCACAGGTCTGAAGTCTGGGAGTCCTCCTGGACTCAGCGCTGATGCTTGATGCGCAGGAATCGACAGTGGCTGGGAGGGCATTTGCACAGTTAAAATTTGTATGCCAACTGTGACCATACCTCGAGAAACCTGACTTGGCCATGGTGATCCATGCCTTGGTGTTACATCTAGATTGGATTACTGCAATGCATTCTACGTGGGGCTGTCTTTGAAGATAGCCCGGAAATTGCAACTTGTGTTGTACCTCAGCTGGGTTACCCCTTGCTCAAGCACTCACCAGGAAGCCCAACATAGAAATAAACAGTTTATTGGGGGGGGGGGGGGGGGGAACACACAGTAAAAGATTAAAAGATCCAAATAGATAAGATAAAAAGTGTCTCACAAAACCACAGTTAAAACTCCAATGCAAAGGTTAAAACATGAATATAAATCCAAGGAGCAGGGTAAACTCATGAGCTTGAATAATCCAAAGACGAGGAATAAAACATCCACTTAAGTGATCCAAGAATCAAAGAACAAAACATTATCTTGAGTTCATGGTAAAATCCCCAAGACTTAAAGCAAAACTTGACCAAGACATAACTTGAAGCGAGAACCAAGGCAAAAGATCCTTGCTCTAATTGCAAAGTTGATTGATCTGAAAAAACCGAAAGCGGGTTTCCTCCTTAATAAGGACAGCAATGCATGAAAGCATTCCTTCAGCCCTTCGGCTGCTTTTCCCATCTCCTGACTTGCACCTGGAATTCTTCCCACAGAGAAGCAGTCTTGCCTCTCTATCTAATCTCTCTTCCCGCTTGTCATTCTGTAAAAACAGTTTTGTTTTCACACAGAGAGTCCTCCGTTCTCCCAACCTGTGAATTGCCTTTCTGTTCAAACATCCCTTCTGCCTGAACAGGTCCTGAACCTTCAGATCCCTCATCAACTTCCTCAGCTGCAGGCCCTGCACCCCCAGACTCCTCATCAATATCCTCAACTGGCTGAGCTACAACAACTTGTGCAAAGGTTGGCAACCAGTTTGCTGACTGGAGCTGGTTACAGGGAGTGGAAAATGCCTCTACTGAAGCAGCTCCACTGGCTGCCGATAAGTTTCTGGGCTCAATTCAAAGTGCAGGTCATTACCTATAAAGCCCTAACGAAGGTCCTGCTTACCTTCATGACCATATTTCCCTCTGTGAACCGGTACAAGCGCTAAGATCTGCCAGAGAGGTCCTTCATTCCCACCTCCGTCACAAGCACAATTGGTGAGGACAAAGGAGAGGGCCTTCTCTGTGGTGGCTCCCTGGCTCTGAACTCTCTCCCCCCAGGGAGATTAAATTAGCCCCCACCTTGTCCACCTTCCAGAAAGACCTGAAGACTTGTATGTTCCAATGTGCCTTTGAAGAATAATTCAGTACTGATCAAGTTCTGCCTAGCCCTCTGCTTTTAGCAAGATCTCCAGCACTGTATTCCCAGCCTCTGACCCAACAGCCTGCGTTTGCACTAGCCCTTGTCCTGCCCTGTCAACCCCAAATCTCCACATGCCCACTTTTCCCGACTATTGGGTGGTTGTTACTTGGTTCATGTCTTATGATGTTTTAATTTTTAATCCTTGTAATTCGTCATGCCCAATTACTGTGACTTTATATTGTTTGGTTGTGTTCATTTATACTGTTTTTGTATTTAATTTTTATTTTATTTTACTGTTTGTATTTTATGTTGTATATTGCTGTACTGTTGGGCTTGGCCTCATGTAAGCTGCCCCGAGTTCTCTCGGAGAGATGGTGGCAGGGTAAAAATAAAGTTTTATTATTATTTATTTTATATTATTATATTTATTGCTTTTTTGTTGTTATATGTTTTTAACTGTGTATTTTTTTAACCTTGCTTATATTGGGTTTGGTCCCCATGTAAACC